GAGAGAGAGAGAGAGAGAGAGAGAGAGAGGGTTTGCCTCCTTATATGAACTTACTATGCTAATCGAGTCATACGAAAACCACTCGCGATATCCGCCGAAATTACCTGCCCTGTTTGCTGCCTGCGTTTGTCTGACCGGGGCGTATTCCTTTTCCATTCACCAGCAAATCACGCCATACTCATGTTGATAGGCGACCAAGGTTGAAAAGGTCACCTGACAATGAGTGATCGGTCAACAGGATGCTAATCACTTTGTTGTACAACTAATCATACTCTACGATTGATAAGTGGATAAAAACTTGGCATTTTAATCACCGATTTGCGATCAACCTATCAAAAGTTACAAAACTCATCCTGCCATTAAACGCTAACAGTGAAATGATAAAGAATACCTTGCAAAAACACGCAAAGTTTGCTTAAAATGACGTGGCGGGATGACACTCCATTGCGCAAATGCTTTTTCGCAATGGGGCCACCTTTGCACCCAATGTGTCTCTGGCAGGCCGAGGTTAATTATGCGGATTGCAGTCCAAGCGCCAATCAGAGGAGCGATTATTTGTTACGTGTCCGCACAGATGTGCTGGCTCCTTAATGGTGCATTTATGTCACGTGCATGCATGCATGCACGTGCACACGCACCAGCACAAACGGTCTCACCTGAATGCTAGCATGGATGCACCCCTGCACGCACACACACGCACACAATGCATGCAGTAGTGCGAGCACATGCATGCACGCCAGCACAGAAAGTGAGTGCATCTCTTCTCTCTTCAGCAGGCAGATCGATCAATAGCCACACTTATAAGTGACACACACACACGGACCGTCAGATGCACACATCAAGCACGTCTGTTGAGTGGTTTGCACGTGTCCATCCAATAAAAGGCTTGGTATTCAATAAGGCGGAGGAAGAAAGAAACCTGAGGGAGGGGGAGGGAAAAAAGGCGAATGAAAGAGGAGGACGAGGAGGAGGAGGCCATATCCACGATGACGACGACACCGACGACGGCGTTGACGGCGGAGACTACGATTCACACAAACGCACACGCATTCACCCACACACATCTACACACGCACACACTGAGGGAGGTCTTCGCTCTCTTGAGAGGCCACTCAATGCCATATGAACCAGTGCTGGCACCAACAGGTGTGACAAGTGATTCGACGTCGAGTGTGAGTGGAGATAGTGGCTTTCGGCACTACCTCAGACAGGTTTCTTCACCAGGCACGCCAGCAAGAGTCATTAGTACCGCCTTCATCATTCCACAGAACGAGATTGTGAATGATCAAGTCTCCTCGAAGAACTACCACAGTGTAGATGTTCAAGAGTGGAAACATACCCGTTGGAGAGAACACACTTCTGTTGACAGAACTTCCCTTATCGATCCCTTTAGTCCCACCACTATGGCAACGGCAACACTAGCGACATCGACAATGCTAACGAATACGGAGAGCGGTTTCCAGGATGGGGGACTTTCTTCTTCCACCATCTCATCTTCCATCGAATCTCCGCGTTCCATGTCCCTACGGCATGTAGAAGAGGAAGCAGAGACAGAGGCGGATGCGGAGACGGTTGCAAGTAACTTTGGACACTCCGCTACTTACCAACCGAAATCGCGCATCTGGTCATGGCTCCACAAGTTCTCCGGTCGAAAGGCATCAGAAGCTGCTAAGGCTCCCGACAACCCACTGTAAGTCTCGCATTTCTCAACTGATTGGATGCCTATTTTACATTACTATGTGTTTCACAGCAAAAAGAATTCACTCCTTTTTGGTAGTCCGAACATGGAGCACACTTATCCCCACTTCTGAGTCGTCTACTTGTAATTTGAGAGAGATTTAGGCTCCACTAGATGACATAAATCCAACCGTCAAATTGAGACAAAGGTATGCCGTTAAGTGAGCGCCATTTGGCTTTCAATAGTCCACAATACAGGCTCTTTTACTGTGGGGATCTCGTGCTTCACATCAAATGCCTTCAAACAGGGCGCACTCTGCCTTTTGCATGTAAGCCTCAGTTTGCTTGATGATAAGTGGGGAGTTGATTAAAACCGCAACTCCATTGTGTGTCACCGCGTGTGGTTAGTCAGAGAGGCATGGGGGTGAGTGGATTGCGCTGCTGAGTCGAGAAGGTGGTTTGCTAAAGCGGGAAATCTGCAGGACCATTTGACACTCCGAAATGCCAAAATTTCCAAATCGCCAAGGCGCTTCTCTGGGGTCATTCAGAAGTGCCAGAGGTCGCGAACACACATGTCCATTCAGGGAGAACTAGAGTGCTCACTTGATTTTATGCAGAATCAGCACATCATTTCGACCGTAGCTGCAAGGACAGGTGTCTTGCATCAACAGGGGCATGCATTGTAGCAGGGATTAAAGTAGACTTTCTCTCGCATGGCGTATGAGACCACCCGAATACGATGAGGTCAAGGCATCAGCATTTCGTGCACGTGGTAGCGAAGATGTCCCGTGTAGTTTAACCAAAAAAAAAGTACAAAAGCAGGTGTCTTACCTGAGGAGGATAGACTACAAGGACACATGGGATAAAATTGGAGCCTTTTGATAAATCTTCTGCCAAAATTCGCTCCTGGGTAGATTCGAAGTATCAGTGTCTTTAACCACGGCGGTCATTTCCTTTTCCTCGTCCCCCCCCCCCCCCCCACCTCACCATGTATTCGGCATTTACTGACCCTCTTGCAGTGCGACAGGTGAATAGATTGACAATCTGGTGTATTGGAGGGTAAAAGCGCCCTTGATAGGCGAAATTCGATTGGGTCGTTCCAAGGACTCCTTTTTCCGTATTTGTGGAATCTCCCACACGAAGTCTCTGAAAAGGCGATTTCGATTTGGCCATTTTTTTTACAAAAACAGCACCCACATTGTGTTTGTTTGAATTTTCTAAAATTATAAGTTTCTCCAAGTTGATTTGAAACCTTATGTGTTCAGAGGGAAAGTTCCACTTTTTGGTGATTTGATACAGTGACAGCTGAGCGGCCAGAGTGGGGCGTCATCCATCGCTCAAACACCAATTCTTCGAGTTCATGGCGGATAATGAGCGCTTGCGTATTCATGCATGATTATTATGCACTATGTCGATTCATCTCCAAGAGAAGCCTGAGAACTAACAATTAAATGTGGAGGGAGAGAGGTCTTATCGCAAATGGCAGCAGAAAAAAGACCCACTACAAACCATGAGAACTCACATCATTGAGTGAAAAAAAAAACATTTACGGGGTCATTTAGCGTACTAAAAAAGATTTTTTCTCCTTTAAAGGAGATAGCCGCTCTTGCTGAGCCCTTTATTGCTGTATAGACTCTCCCATATCGATATGGTTCCTGCTTAAATGAATTTATAGTAGTGCCAAGGTATCAGCCAGTCGTGATTGTTGGATCCTATTCACGCCTGTTTCTTTGGCTATACCCTGCATGTCAACTTTTATTGCCACTTGGAGCTGCTAAGTACGCTTTCTTGTGTCTGGGTGTCATATTATCTCGCTGGGTTATTTTTTGCCGACGTCAGCTATCAAGACGGGTGATAATGCACCATACTCCACGCATGTAGCGTCCCCAACGAATCGGTAAGTCTAATTCTCTGCTTTGATGGGGGACATTTCACTGAAACCTGCCAACAACATTCGTGTTGATGTCGAGTTATTCGCACCACGATTCTATTTACTTTGAGATCACTAAAAATGCCACCTTTGTTTCGCTTCAAAAAAGAAGAAGTGAGGTGGAAGTTGTCAACATAGTGGGGTGATGTCATTTCAAAACCAGGGATCTTCTCGCTGGCTTACTATTCCCTACTACTACTTTGGTAAAGAAGCTACATTTTCATCGCTTTACTCTGCGTCCAGCGTATTAAGAAAGTGTGGAAGAGTGAAGGTTAAAAAAGCAGAGATAGAAAATGCATAAATTGGATTTTTCATATTCAAAAGATTTTCTTTTTTGCCCTATTAGAAAGAAGAGTGCTCACTTTACTAGTGTGGGGGGAAAATAAAGAGTGACTGTAGTGAGTAAGTGGGAAAATAACCGCGTATCTTTATCATTACTCATAGATTCTAACCTTTTTTTATTCTGTGGGAAAAATTCATCAGAACTTAGGCGGATGGGCGCAGAGATGACAGCGGGAGAGGATTGCACTAACACCCCCTCTCCCTCTCTCACACTCATGGAACAACGAAATGCTGGTACATTTACGGCGTGTATTTCGGTTCCGATTGCATATTACCTAGGTATTAGATTTTAGGCGTGTCTAAATGTCAAACAGTGAGTTAGGACTTCCTTTAGTATTTTGAGGAAATAAAGGGCGATCTGTAAACACCTCCAGAGTGGAGTCTACTAATCACCCATTTTTTAAATTCCGGCTTTAGTTAGGCAACGAGTAATTCATTTTGGGCAAGATTTTTTCCACATGGTCATAGTATTTGTGTAAAAGATGCCAAGCGAATCTTGATTTTTCATTGTCAAAGCAACCTGCTAGGGAATGTTAACTGCAAATCAGGCGGTGGAGTGTAGTTTTGCCACCGATTTGCCTGTCAATTACAGAGGGAAAGAGCAGATTATGCTTCCAATTCTGTTTTCATTAGTTTGTATGGGTTCCCACGGCTGTGGATTTGAGAACATTTTAGAACAGCATGAAAATGTCCTCCGCTTTTTTCCCGCTAGTTAATTTTGTGTAGGCTGAAGTGCTGTAAGTTGGTAATACAATGCAGGAAAACAGTGGCCACCATGGCGACGCTCAAAAGGAGGGGGAGATCACGCAGCTAGGCTCATGCCATCAATGCTACCTTTAAATGGGTATACTTTGCAAATGTCTTAAAGGGCAAGGCTTAAAACTTTTTTGCTCAATTTCACGATTTCAAGCACCAGAAAGTGGAATTGTAATCATACCTCAAGATAGGAAGGAAAGTCCTGTGACGGTTCCCTGTCATCGCTAGAAGAATTTGGATTTCACCGGTTGTTGCGGTTGCAAATTGCGTTGTAGCAGAACTAGGGTCTGTATTTATACCCCATTTCTCCCTTGTCTGGGTTACTGACATATTATCTCAACTTGGAGAGATATCTAACCTTCGGACTGCGACTATAACTTAACACTTCCGTGGTTTAACCATTTCAATTTGATAACATCTGATGGTGATGCCTTACTTATTAATAAGCAAAGTTGGGAATCGCAATATGTAGCTCTTCTCTTGTGAATCTCCGTTAATTAGGCCTTCCCCCTGTCGCATAAAAGTATGATATCCAGCCCACGAAATCGAGACTGGTCATCACTTCGAACGCGTCACCGATACACTGTAGGGCGTTGTAGGGCTTGCAATCAAAGTGGCTGAATTGGAAAGGGATAAAAAGGTTGCATCGTTGGGTGTAAGCAGGAGCCTCTTCCACGTAAGCAACGTAATCCACACGGCTGCGGAATGGCTACTTTAACGTTTAATGAGCTGCCATTGTTGAAAATTCTGCTCTACTTGTAATCTCAGTGTTACTTGAACTTAGCTCCCTGGGAGTAGTGCTGTATGAATTGTTGCAGAAATTGCTATGGCCGCCGAGAATCAGTGTTTGTTTCCACGCAATGGCGCACATTGAGGCCTTTTTTTCGCTTGACATAGAGATTTATATAAGTAGTACAGTCAGTAGTGCCCCAAATCACAGCATTGCTCTTGCAAATCTGTTTTATTTTAGACATTTGAGCAGACTGCGGCTCTCCATGGTCGTTTCACAGGTAAGACCCACTTATTTACTGTGAACGCCCAAAATGATTGTTATTTTACAGTTAGTATCAAAAAATGCTCTTGACGATCTTCATCCAAAGGTATTCCTCTCATTAGACATGTTAAATTATTACCAAAGTCTACAAACAGAAGCTTGCGATGCACATTGTTCCTTCATTAAGGGAAAAGTCAGATGGCAATTATTACAGTCGAGGAATCTGGAATTGTTTTTCAAGTTGGATGTTACTAAGTTTAGGGCATCCCAAATGCTTTGTAATTAGCTTGACCTATTTAATCACCTATTTATATGAGTGGCATCCGGACTGTGATGTCAAGGTGTTTGCGCACTTGGGTGTATCTAGGTTTGCCAGATCAGCGGTAGGTCAGTCGCTTTGGTGATTCCTAAAAAATTCCGCAGTTTACCTTCTAGATAAGGTAGGCTTTAAAAAACGACTCCCTAGCCCATCAGCCTATTGATACACTGAATGGATAAATTCTGTTAGAGGTCTCTAATTTCATGAGGTACTTTAAAGTCCGGCTCATCAAATGGCGCCGTATGAGCTGGACACCCTTGCTGAGGTGTTTTCCGTACATATAAAGTGATTCAGTGCCAATTAAATGCACTTACATAAATTTGAATCCCCGACGTCTTATAAACTGATCAACAAAAACTTCCAGGTTTTGTTCGCATTTTGGCCTGTAGCATGAGCCTCGACCCAAACACCTGAGCACTTTACGTGTAGAGAAGCGACTTGAGCAGAATGTGATACATTTGCGTTCGATAGAAGTCTCCGCCTCGGTGCCCTTCGACACCACTACCAAACCCACTGTACACTGTGAGTTCTCACGCCTTTATTCACTGAATTATCCACTCCATACAGCTCTATGTCCAGTAATCGTAAGGTGATGCTAACAGTACACTTCCGATACTTACTCAATTTGGTAACAGATAGTAACGGGCTTAACGAATTCCACTTATCTTTCTTCCATTTAAAGGGACGGAGTACGTGACGAAGGTGGGCAAACCAGTAAGTAGGAGGTGTTGGTGACGACGTGTCTTGCTTTGACAATGAGATTACACTTTTTTACTACTCTCTAGACCTCCGCTGAGACGGTTCTGCATACGACATGTCTGCAGACGACCTGTGGGGATACTAGTCACATTGCATCCCCACCTCCTGAGGTCTCCAATCCCCCCACTTTGCTGCGTGTTGGAAGAGTGGAGACTGCCCTTTTGCGTGAGTCCAACCCATTCACCTCATACTGATGTGATGCACATCGGAGGCGCAGTTGCAGACGGGTTTGTGTGTCAGGGGTCAAGCTGTGTTTACGACTTGATCAAAAATATGCGTAATCCGTGCTACCCATTTACTCCATCTCTATCCGCAGTGCAGTAGATTTGGCCATTTTTGTGGGATAGACGCAAACAAAGTCAATTTGAAGCTCGTTTGAAAGGCAATGGATGTCAGTAGCACTTTCAGTTAAGTGGTTTTCAAACTAAAAGATATGAATTGCTTTTAATCGAGTTGCCTCAAAAAGCGGAAAGTTTTTATAAGTGGCTGTGGTCGTGTGATCGAATTTGAAGTAAACTTTTAAACCTCCTATGGGCTTACTAGTAAGTATGATTGGTTTTAACACTTATTTACTCCTTACAAAGTGAGCAAGAAGAAGTTGGTGGCCAAATATCCTCCTTAAGTGCCTTTCACTGTCACCTACTTGCACTTCATTTAACTTCAACGTCAACTTGCATTGATTCTAGCATGCATTAGAGAGGTCACAGCTACTATGAGGGTAAACACAATGCAATTTTTACGATCACTTCAAAAGGCAAATTAACTGCATAGCTATATTGACCTCGAACAGAAAACACGAGTCCCCTTGTTCACATGCTCGGTGAGGTGAGGGAAGTGCGCAGTATGGATTTTGATTTAATTTACATAGTTTTCATCTTCCACTATTATCGAACATTCCCAAATTAAATATCCAAATTGCAATGTCTCCCAGGAGGCTCTGGCGAATCAGTGAGAGGGATTTTCGTCTCTCCTTATTAGCCACCATGTCACAATCATGGGCCAAAAGTGATTTCAGCTCTCGCCAGCTCACCTCCGTGGTCTCAGTCTTCTCCGATCCCAGACCTCCAACGCAGAGGTACATTAGCTGGGAGAACAAGAGCACCAGTCCCTTCACATTTCCCCCTACTTTTGGCGAGGAGTCGGTGAATGAAGTGAAAAAATCGCCTCTAGCCAGAGATCGCTCTTACTGGTACCGCGATGACCCCGATTCCACGTTTCTCCTCTCTCAAGTTTACCTGGATTCCGATACCTCTTATTTCCGGCAATCGGGTGACAGTACGCCTGTCGAAAGTGAGAGTCTCTATGAACCCGTTTGCAAGAAAACCCCCTGCCGAGAATCCCAGAACGAAAATCCGCCTCGATCCTCCCAATCTACTCCTGTCTGCATCGCCACCTGTCATTCTTTTATCGCTGGCCCTAGTAGCAAAAGCAGCATTAATGATGGCGACAGTTCTAAGGTGGATGGCAAATTAAATGTGACTCCAAATCAGCTTAACCTCCAGAACGGCAGGAGTTCCTGGGGAAATGATGAAAGTAAATTAAATGGCCTACCGGGTGTAAAGAATCTGGTAACTAAAATGGTTGTGCAAATGCCCCTTTCCTCAACTCCTGAACACCAGCAGTACAATGATGAAGATGGAGTAAATGGAAAGACAGTGGAGAAAAGGTCGCCCATAGTACCACAAAGAATTACAGCCACTAAACCTGCATCCGTATTAGATCGCAGCATGATGAAGCTGCCCCTTAAGACGCCGCCCCCGGTGGTGTATAGAAGAAATCGGGACATAGCCAATGGAGTTCAGAGCCCCCTATCTCCCTATCCTGTTGGAAGTAAAACATGGCGAAATTCCAGCCTCAGTGAACTAGCCATTTCACCCAGGACCAATAACAGGGAAGACGGCAAATTCACCCAACCTGTGGATAGTGCCTGCCCCTTGAATAGCGATGAAAGCTACCAGCGGAGTCAAGTGAATTCAGAATGTAGGAAGAAGAGTCTAGCTGATCGGCTGTCTCCACTGCGTGACGTCGATACGGTAGGCAATTCTACTAGTAATACTGGTAGTTTTGAAGAGTCGATAAAGCTGAAAGAGGTGTCCCTAGTGAATGCACCCAAAGAAAATATCATTGGGAATGGTGTGAATATGCATCCAGAAACTACAAACAAAGTCCACACAACTTCCAACGCGGTGGAGAGCAGGCCTAACATTCAAGATTCGCAGAAAAGAGACAAAAATTTAAATTCATTTACTGCCACAGTTGCTCCAGCACCACGGCGGATATCGAATGAGCCTTCAAGTAATATCAATCAGGAAAAGTGCATTTCAATCACTTCTGTGAGTAAACCGGTCGCTAAAGTGCTACCATCTACAATTTCTCAAGGTGAATGGCACTTTGTTGAAGGTGGCAAATCTCAGGCTACACTATTGGCGAAATCACGGATCTCTCATGCTAACTCTAAGGCTAAAGAGGCTAAGAGGGTTCAACCCCAAGGGCAAGTAGCCATCAAAGTGGCAGATGGAGAAATATCGACTTCCATAAAGGAGAACGGCTTGCCCAAAGCAGCAGAGGAAGTTTTGCCCATGAGAAAAACTTCAAGCTCCAAAAATGATCAACTTTTGCTTGAAGTGGAAAAGGAGATTGAGATATTTACCTCAAACAGCACACACAGTTCTGTCATCTCTATTTCCACTGTGTCTGAAAAAAGCTCAATTCAGATAGTACCACCTACGATTCAGGAAATACAGATACCTACAGTTGAAGCACAGAGAAAACCTTCTCTGAATTCCCTTGAAAGCACCCTTCAGGTTGCATTGCAAAATGAGAGTGCCAGGGTAACTCACTCAAAAGCAAGTTCCTCTTCCTACCACTCAGAAGTCATTGCCTCTATTCCGCTACAGATAATAAAGAAACCGCAGGAAAGCCTTGATAAAACCCCAGTTTCAAGAGATTCTCTTACAGCTTTCACCCCACCATCGAGACCATTGACCCTGCAGTCGTCTGACTTAGACAAGGCACCGGCGGCGGGGAAGCGTAACCAGGTGACACCCACATCGCCGACGGGTCAGCACTTCTTCCCCAAGTCGCATCAGCTCCCCCAGTCGACTAGTGGAACGACTGTTGCTAACCATGAGAAGAGAGTTGAGGAGGAATTGAAAGGTATGGAAGAAGGCACCTTGAACGACAGTGAGACTGCGACTGCGAATATGTCTTCACCTCCGCCGATAAAGTCCACAAAGATTGCACGAAGCATGCCTGTCAGCAAAAGGCCACAGACTGCCCGCATATTCCGAACCCAAGGTAGGTCTTGCAAAACCTTGTAACACATTCGCCGACACGTATAAGGAATGCGACGTCTATCCTTTAGCAGTTTATGAGCTGTGATTGCACCAAACTGTTAATTGCAATCTTTTTTGTTTTTTGGATGGCAGTCGAATTTGAGTAAAAATTGACTGACGGCTTGTGCTATTCTAGGTCAAAAAATATCCTAGTCATGACGGTAGACTTTTGACATCCTGGTGTAAAAAGATGAACTTGAGCGTTAAAGCAAATTCCTTTTTTCTCTGCTTTTTGCTGCACTTATTTTAATGAGTTTATTATGAATCAGGGACGTTTTTATGACCCCTTAGGTAGCAAGGCACCTTTCCTTGGCGGTGTTTCAACTGATTTTAATAGCAGAAAAACAATTTAAAAAAAAAACAATCAAGGAATAATGGCACAAATTGTTATGTACTTTGTTAAGACTTCTCTGAAACTGAAAGACGACAATACTCGGGTGGAATATGAATTGTCGACGAACAGAAGGGGTTAGGGACTATTGGCACGACCCGGAAGCCGGACGTACAATAGCGGAGCCCTCACTGACCCGTTACCAAAATCGAGAGTTAAATAAACGCTTAAAGTATTACATAGTTCCTCTCCTCTTTTGAGCATTTTTCTTGGCGCTCCCCTTAGTTAACCTCCCAAGTCGGCCATTGCAACATAATTCTAGCCATAAGAGAGGCATCCACGAGCTGACCGCCTCAGATATCGAATTTGCGTGCAATGTCACTAACACCTCTTGACAATTCTACTAAATCTTGAGTTTCGACCTGTTTAGGAAGAGTACTGGAGATGTGGGGGAGATGTGCTGTCCCTCACGTATGTCCATCGCTGGTCGTAGGTGCACTGGCGGGTTTTAACATAATTCCTTGGGGGTAGGATTTCGAGTCTTCCCCATTGCCACTTGGTTCTCACTTCGGTGCCGCACAGCCATACCTATCTGGAGCCTATCCAGCTAGTAGAGGGGTGGAGGAGGCATCGCGTGTTTACCTCATTGACATCTTCATGCGGGCACCGTAGATAGCTCCGTGGCAAACGTTTCCAGATGATTCCCAATTGATGTCGCTGCACTTGTGAATAGCTTTCCCGAAGACCAGGGAACTGGAGTGGTTGCTAAATGTAGATGTCATTTTCAACCATTCTGCCAGGGGTCGTTGCAGATTCTTTCATTCGTAGCATGTGCACGCCTTCCGTCACGCTGTTTTACCGCCCTTCCGGGACTTCTTTGAAGACGAAAAAAAAATAATGTATCAGGCTTCTTAAAAGCTCTGTCTTTTTCAGAGACATCTCCTCTGCAGTTACACTGGGTCATCTCAAGGAAGGCGATTTAGTAGTAATTAACGTCGTATCAAGGTTTTTTTGAATATTTTGCGTTGGTGTAGTGGAAAAAAGTGAATTTTAGTAGTGAGTTTCTGCACCACTAATTTGACCAGGGGAAAACCCGCTTTTTTCTTTAAATTTCCCCATTCGTCTACTATGGTATTGGTTTATGCTGTCGCCTTTGTCTCTCTTTGGCCTCCTAGCTAATTAGCTAATCCCCCACCCAACTAATTCCATTTTTCCGTTTTATTGCTTTTAGAAAACGAAGAGGACTTTTTTACTGTACCCGCCGAAACTCACAAAGACATCAAACCCGAGGACCATTTCCTGATTTACGAGGACATTGGCAAGTAAGTTGTAGAAGTTATTCGCAAAAATAACAACGCTCCCTGCTTAAATCGCAGAGTTTAGTTGATTTCTTTGAACACGAATTATTCCGCTTTTATGCTCTTCACCTTGAATCACCTATGTTTCGCAAGAAGGTGCACCAACTGTAACGACTTTATTGAAGCGTTTGATCATCGAAAAAAGGAATTCCATTTTTTTGAAACGATAGGGTGGTCTCTTTACCACTCCTCTCTCTCTCCCTTCTTAAGCTCGAACATAATTTATTGCTGGGTCGTAAAAGGCTAAAACGATGCAATTAATGTGAGAAAAAGGCTTCTCATTGCGGTTTGAGATGCACCACTTGCTCTCGCGCCATCCGTGTCGCGTACTGGCAGGAGGCTTTGATCGCATGGCTCTACGACATGCACTGTTGAATCATATATTGTCTTCCACCTTCACTTTGTGCTGCCCTTTTCGCAGAGTCAAGCACACTTTAAGATTTGGAGCATACTCTTTTGGATAATGATGGAATGAAATATGAAAAAAACTGTTCACCCATTCATTCATGCCATAGACTAGTGCCATGACATGTTACCACCGTACTGTCGCAATTGCTGCCGCAACTGGCATGCAATTGTCCGTGTGCATCTGGGCGTGAGAGACCGGAGTCATGGCACGCCCATATGCACTCCCGGGGGGCCTTTAGTGCTGACACCCCCGGGAACCCTAAGGGGATCCCCCCTCTAGAGTAGTTGGGCTTTCTCAAGTGACCTTGAGGGCAAGGGGTTTATTAGCGCACATAAAATGCATCTCTATGTCATATTTATGTCCGTAGAATCGCCACTGTAGCAGCTCTTTCTAAGGCTGTAAAACTGGAAGTCCTTGTTAAATTTAAACGCTTCAAGGCCTATAAGGAATCGTGGGGGTATAAATTACCTGGATGAATTTAATAACATTTGATAGAAATCTTAGTGTCAATGCTACGACCTTTTATAAATTTTAAATCCACCTAAATTGACGGATACCGTAAGTATTACCCTCGCCTTCTTCCATTGCAGAGGAAAGTTCGGGAAAGTGGTGAGGTGCGAGAACAAGCAGACACATAAGATCATGGCGATGAAGGAGATCAAGACGGACCGCCTCCCTCGGCACTTTTCGGGCGACGTCATGGAGGTGGCGGTGCTGCGGGTCATCGGTCGTCATAACAACATCGCCTGTTTCTTCAGTGCCTACGAGGTGCAACACGCATGCTTCATTGTCACCGAATAGTGAGTTAAAAGTTGTGGCTTAAACGCCCTCAGTGTGCCAGATAGGGTCCGTTTTCACTAGCGATTCACAAACCGATAGTACTGCCTTAATTCGGTATTATTAGTCTTATCTCAATGTTTAATCAAATTCTAGAGAAATGGTGGACTGCGTTTTAATAAGAATAATGTCGAACCCCCTGGACTAACATAACTGTTTCGTATCCTCTTTTAAGCCTTTCCTGAAAAATTATTCAGTTGTACTATAGGAGGTAGATCTTGTGAGTCCCTTGAATGCTAATCACCCGAAATAATTATTACTTTTTATCCCTTGAAGTACACTGTGAACTGCTTCATCACTACGGCAACCGTCGGAAAAGTACTCGAAGGAGTTTTGTTTTTGGTTCCTTACTTTTGCTGCCAATGAGAGCCAAATGAGTCGTAGTCTTTGTTTAGAAGGAAGTACGATGAAAACTTCATCATATTATCTAACTGGATGCTTTCAAATCGTTTCTGGCCAAATGATGGTTGATGATTGCTCCCACGTCCTCGATACCTCTGAGATTTAGTGCTGCTTCCCGATAGAGAGGATACTACTTATAAACACTTCAGGGTACCGATACTGCTAGTAGTGTTGCTCACACATAGTCATTCTTCATTTATTCCACAAATTGAGTTTCTCAATTTCTTGGGATATTATTCTACAATTCGGTTCCTTCTACAATCTAGTATGCTAAACTGGGATGAATTTGTAGTTTGCTTCTTTATCCACAGAAATTGGAGCAATATTAGTAATCCAACCACCTTGAAAGGTGTGAAGTGCAATCACACTTAAGGCATAAAAGCATTACGTTTAAAATATTAAAAGAGCATGTCATGTTCGTGTAACCGGTAAGCTGAGAATTCATTTCTAGGTCATCCTGGATTCATCTTCTGTCACCAAGTTACGGATTTTCTTTCATTTCCTTGGTAGAAAGGTGTATGGATCTAATCATGTGCATGACCTCTGTCATTCGGTAGCTATCACATCGCTCTTTGATGCTGAACACTGAGTCCCCAGTTGAATAAGAGGGGCTGATGCCCGAAAGCCCAATCCATTCGGTGTGTACCTTTTTGGATGGGAGACTCAGGAGATCGCAGTACATCCCACAAATGCGAGGGAAAGGGTTTTTCTGTCAAACCTAATTTTATTGACAACATACACTTAAGAATGCCACAGTTAAGGGGATAAGATTGACACTAACGTTCGTGGGTCGAGCGTGATTTTACCTGGTTCATGCTGAGTAATAAAACCACGGTGGGAAACGGATTTGCATTTACATTTGCAACGTAAATCAAGTTTTTTAACCATTTTAAAGGAGTATTAAGTCAGAATAACTGATCTGCCTTAATCAAGTTCCCGCCCCGTTATCTGAAACCGGAGGTTAGCTTCTAGATGCCTCAAGAATGACCGAAATTTAACCCTTCTCTTCACTGAGTTAAAGCGATGACGTGTTTTTTGCTGTCTCTGTTACTCATGTGAAATTTTTTGCTCTGACAACAGGTAACTCCTCCGTTCACCACATAATTGCATCTCGGAGTAAATTTAATTCAAGTTTCGCACACACACACACGCAATGAGTCACTTGAATTTCTGCATTAATTCCATTTAGATTGATGGCATGAGGTAGCAGTGCCTCTAAAACACTCATCCACGCTTTTTATAAATAGATGCCTTAGAAATCGTTCCACTTTTCTGGTACTTTCTGCATGAAAAAGTGGAGTAGACGTGGAAACGCAAACGGCCTAGCGAGTTTAGCATGCAGGGATGAGAACTTTTTGAGTACCGTAGACTCTCACGAAAAGCGGCTCACTACTTCACTATTGTAACATCACTCCTCGTTTTATTACAAAAATACGCATCATCTTCCCACATAACTAGTTAATGTTCACCTAGCCTAGAGGAGAAACACGATGATTCCTTCGAGCGAGTAAATGGTGCTTTTATATAAACTTGTAAATTTATATTAACACTTCTTGCAGCGGTAAGGCTTGATAAGCTTTTGGTAACCAGCAAATGAGGGGAAATTGCCTAGTTTTTTACTTTAAAAGTGAGTATTCTTGAGGATGAGAGCCTTTGAGTTGAAGGCTGTGCACACTCCCCATTGGTAACTCGTGACTAGAGGTTTCGCGATTGAATGGGAACTGCCTTTCTTACTAGTCATGATTCAGGCAGACAAATAGACAGTAGCCCACGAGAACCCTCTGTTATTTTGAAAGAAAGCATTAACTATAGTGGTTCCTTGGATCATACGTCTTCCGGATACTTTAAACATGAACCCGCTCTTTGTAGTCATTTAGGAAAAATTGTGGGATAGGTGGCCAAAATCGTACCAGACTATGTTTCTTCTCTGAAAAAGGTTCTTCAGCAACATCGAGTGCAAGGTTTGGAAGAAAGTTGAAAACGTCGGCAGGAGAGAAATGTTGATGTAGCGCCCCGAGAGTGCCTTATAGACGCAGTAAGTCATAATGCTCTGGCATAATATGTATCGTCGGAGTACAGCAGAGTTGGGGGCCACTGATGTGGCCCGGATGCCAGGCCGCCTGGCTAGTGTACAATGACAGAGTCCCTAAGTGGCCTCTTAGCAGAACTGACAGTTGGACAAACAATTAAAGAATTACCTTGGAAAAAATCGCCTAGAGCCATTGGCCTCCTGTTCATCTTCAAGCAGTAGCCCCGTATCGAAGTAATTTGTGTCTGGGGGATCGCCGTAATCCCCGCCGCCTGCCCTTTACGATGCTAAACACCGGAAGTGGGTAACAAGTGAAAACCCGGCGACCAAGACGAGCGCTTGACAATTGGACGGATTTTGCTTATTAGGCTGGGAAATTACATTATTCACTTAGATTAGGCTTAGCAACTTTCTGTCCTTATCCTTTTACATTCAAGTTAATATTTCGGCTTCAAATGTGACTCCACCCATTTTAAAAGCTGGTGAACATTTGAGATGCTCGTTCAACTGGATGTTTAAGTGCCTCTAAGTGAGGATGCGTTTGTGATCTCTTGTGTGTTCACACCTGCTAAGCCGCCGATCGCGACCGCTTCTTCATTAGACATTCCGCTTTGCTAGTGCTCGTCTTTACCACGAATTTTATAGTAATTAACTTGAGTATTCTCACATTGGGTCTTTTCGTGGAATCTTGAGTAAGACCTAGAAATGTATAATTTTTATGCTGCTAAAATGACATATTTTTCGCTTAAAAGCTTCGTATCAACATGATGCTGGCCACAGCAATGGGAATTTTGAGGCTGACTTATGCACATCCATCATTTTCAGTGCCTTAGTTGCATAGGCTACGTGGAGAACTCTAGACAACTTCGTAAAATTGTGCAAAATAAGCAGACAGCCAGGAGTATGGAGGGTGGAGGTTGAATAAAAACGCTTCTTCATTTACATGAAACAGAAAGGCTGTGCCTTAAAGACCGCCTCAAGCACACTCAACTGAAAAGAAATTTCCTGACTCAACTGCATTGCATCCAAAGGATTGTTTCGATTTCACAATCACTATAAATGGAAATTTGGACCTTCCGAATACGGATTTTGCTGGGTGGTATCATCAAAAAATGACTTGCGACCCCAAAAGTTGGGTAATGTGAGTCAGATTAAAAGGAAGGAAAAAAATTAATGAACTGTGAACTTCTAGAAGAAACGGCCAATCAGATGGTGACTATCACTGGTGCAAGCCACTGCCATAGCGCACACCAAACCCCGTTCCATCATAATTTTTATTAATAAAGAAAGTAGAGGGTCATTAAGGAGCTGTGTCAAATGAGCTGGATGATTGGCGTTCTCGGAAAGAAGGCACGAATTGCCGAATATCTTAATAAAAAGTATTAGTTGAAAGGGCCTTCGCTAGAGGCGACTTCTAGGCTTGATTGAGGTCAAAGAACTTCCTACTATCGTGGTAGTATTCAATGTTAAAGGCTAAAACGGGGTTTACTTCACCCTTGACGTTTTTCAACATTATTTAGAAGATTATCTTTAGTCAATGTGCATTTTATGCCTTCCCAAGCATTGTCCGATGAAAGTAATATCCAATTGAATTGAGGCGAGGCGAGATTCACGTTGATTTGCTTATCGTAGCCGCGTTTTAACCCAACGGTACGTGAATAGGCCACAAGAAGCAAGAAATCTCTGCAAATTTGCGTTCTAGAGTCATATTTTCCCTTGGTTTTGATATGGTATTCCTCGAATTACCTGCAGTGTTGCCAGTTATTGCACCAATGGTTTGCTTTTCCCACTTCGACAAATTTTCGCCACTTTTACCTCATTCAGAGAAATTACATCTTCACGCACTCAAGACTTGCCTCCTTGAAAATAAGTAGAAATTGATGGAAGAAGTAACTGCAGAGCCCCTGAAGACGAAAGGAGACATAATACCCGGTCAGAATATGTATTGTCGCCCTACAGAAGGGCTCTGGGGTTACCGGTATGGCCTGGAGGCCAGGCCACCTCGTGATGCCATCAGCGGCCCATTACCGAAACCGAGAGTTACACACAAAGCCCAAAGCAGCACCTATTTCAATGCATATGTGTGTCGCATTCAATTACGAGAGTCAAGTACTTGACAGAACCCTCTAGTATTTGGTTTTCCCCATGCTAATCTCAGTTTGAGGTCGGTGAGGCATACAAATTTTTTCTAGTAAAAAGTAGACCATTGCCTCAATTCTTGCGGCTTTTAATTGCTTGTTTACAACATTTCGTTTACCAAAAAAACAATACAATTTTACTTAATTAAAGTTATTTGGAGCATAGTAATGATATTTTAGTACCATCCAGGTCATCGAGTCGTAACAGAGCACACCGACTTGTAAACAACATAATTGTAAAATTGAGAAGGGACTGGGAAACCAATAGCATGACTCCTAATGGAGAAGAGGCCAATGTGGTCAACCTTGGCAGGATCCGAGAAATTGAGGTATTTTTCGACCATCCTGAATTACCATAAGAGAAGTCCACCTTAGTTATATGTTTCAGTAGTATTAAATGCATCTTACAACCATGTCTTGGGTTCCTTTGTCCCAGCGTTTGTGGCGGAGCTCTATACGATCGCGTAGTGGCCGAAGACAACTTGGACGAGAAGATCAGCGCGTCAATAATCCGTCAAATGCTCCTCGGCCTGGAGCACATTCAGACCTGCTCAGTGTTGCATCTGGACTTGAAGCCGGAGAACGTGATGATGGTCGCACCTTCGGGGTATCAGCTGAAGATCATCGACTTCGGTCTGGCCTACTTCTACGACCCGCAACGACCCCGACGCCAAATTGGCGGTACCTATATCTATTCCGCGCCGGAAACGATCACCTACGATTATCAAAGCTTTGCCACTGATATTTGGAGTGTGGGTGTCATTGCCTACGAACTGTAAGTACAACCATATCGGCGGTTCACCATCATTCACCTAATTATTATGGATTTGCTTAATTATTTCTTTGCCACAATTACTTGCTGCCTGGTATTCGTTCTGTTCTAATTTGCCCACATTATACCTCGCGATGATTCGCTTTGTTGGGTGGGGCTAGTGGTCTCACCGAGACTTTCATGCGGCAAGCAGTACTTATCCACAAAAGTGCAACTATAACGTAGACAGGGTGTGCCGAGGACCGGCAGTTGGCACTTCAACTGGCTGTAGCAGCTGTGTCGACGTAGCGGTGGTGATTCGATAGCGCAAAACCTCGCAGATGACTATACATGCTGGGATGTGTCTAAGCACAATACCACCTGCACCTACTTTTGACTTGCTATTCTGAGCCCTGATGAGGTGGAGTAAAGTGGGTTTTAATCACGAGTTCTGTCGATGCTGCCGAGAACACGGGAAGATATGTCATCAGCATGTTAGCCAAATCGAAGGAGACTGGAAGGCCAGTGTGGTTAATCTTTATGAGAGCTTCAGGAATAGGTACCACAAGTACCGTGTGCCTGATGATTCGAAATTATCCCCATTAAAACATTTACAGGCTCTCTGGAATCACGCCGTTTGAATGTCCCCAATCTGGTGATCCAGAGCGGGAATTGACTCTGTCAGAAATAACCACGAACATTATGAACTGTCGCTACAACTTTGACGATGACGGCATTTGCGATGCCTCCGATGAGGCCAAAGACTTTATTTGCACCATCCTCAAGAAGAGTCCCAAGTGAGTGTCGATAAGTCTCAACCCCTTGCCTCTCTACGCAGGAAGGCGAATCAATTTTGGGTTTGGATTTCTCTTGCAGAGATCGCCCGAGTGTTGAGGCATGCCTCAAGCATTCCTGGATGGAGATGTCGAACGAGTTGCCAACTGTTCGACGCGATGTCTCCATTCGTCGAAGAGCATCGGTAGGTTCCAGCCAAAATCTCTTACACTGAAATTTCTGTCTTCGACTAACCAGTCATCCCCATCTTAACTTGACGCAGTAAGATTTAAAATCTGGCCTAACTGCTACGAGGTAATCGACCTTCGAATCGAATTAATATCCTGTTCAATCGTCACCCTATATGGTGCACTTGTCCTTGTCACTTTGTAACCCTGGCTTCGTAGGTGATGGAGCATTTAGTACTCAATGTGTCAATGCCTTAAAGACTTGATTGTAGTAAAAAGAGTACTTAGGTGGTTACCATTACCCGACTACTTGCATTAATTCTCCAGGCGAAGGAGAAAACCCGACCCTTTGAAATCAGTCACCTCCGTATTGCAACCGACGATGCGGTCTATTAGGCACGTGCTCCACCGCGTATCGCATGTATCAAAGACTGCCTGCCCGCCTTTCTTGTACCCCTCCCCTTTATCACCACCACCACCACCACCACTACTAATCCAGGTCCATTTCTCCCAAATATTTTCTTATCCCACTCAGCCTTCTGCAATTGGACAGCAATCACTGTAAGTATTTGTGTGTCGAATTCGACTAAAAGGACTAAAGTTCGTCTTTCGCAATGTTTCATCTCCAGTTCAGAGTTTTGCAGCTGGGCAGCATTCACTAAGAGCTAATGAATTGCAGAAGTGAGTGATTCCAATAGAAAGACGCCTTTTATAGTGGAATTCAAGTCAAACAAGGCCCTTTGAACTCCGCATAGTTCCTTGTCATATCCGCACGCCTGTTCCAGTGTGTAAATGATATCCGCAAGGCTTTGGCGTATGACGAAATGTCATTACTGCTGGATCTGCATAATCCAACTGCTCCGACGGCAAAGTGAAGTGTTGCGCCCGGATTTCGATGCGATGCAGAACATTCTGGCCTCCCTTGTTAAAACGATCTTTCAACTCTTCCGTCACGTTCAAAGGACATGAAGCCTTAGCGACAGCAAGTGCGTACAGACCTTTCGAAAATGCAAATTCTCTTGAATAATTGTGTTCGCTGTTCCCACAGAAGTATTTCTCGTGTACAGCTTCACAACAGATAAATGACTTCTGTAGCAGTGTGTTGGGAACCACCACGATCAGGATCGTAAGTGACAAATGTAAGACCGCCTTTTTCTCGCAAAGTACGGCTGGATCCAACGTCACCGCTACTCGCCACTTAGTCGCGTAGTACGTGGTAGCTACGGTGCCATTCTGACCTAATTTGAATGGTTGTCGTAACCACTTTGCTATGACATTGATTTCGGTTAAATTAACCAAAATTGTAAATTAAACGGCTAGATGAACAAGTGACAAATTTGGCTGTCACGACTTAAGCCGAATTCTCGCAATTATTCCAGTTTGTGACAAAAGTCAATAAGAGACAGCTTCAGCAAGCGAAATCCAAGCAGACATTCACGCTTGACTTTAATCAACTGCATTGAAAGTTATCGGAAGGAGGCTACAAAAGGGAGCCATGGGGGAGAGACATAAAATCAATCTGCAGAGGGAGAGGCAAAGATCTCAAAACTTGACGGTAGTCCAACCGCCACCACCACCGCTGTCACCGCTATGTGTAGTAACAACGACAGGATCTTGGGGGTGAAAGTGGTGGTGGTGTTGGTGATTGTTGGGATATTCCGCAAGACTGGAGCGCGTATGACGTGTAATGGTGTCTGGGTGGAGATCTAGGGCCTCCATGTGCTGGTAAAAGTCGTCCTTCTCCAACTGAATAGTCAGGTGACTTATCTGGTCCAGTTTCAGCACCTCCTTCACTTGGGCCAAAACCAGTTGCTCGGTAGCCTCGGACGCTATACGCAGACGCATTGAGCAGCAAATAGTATTCTCCGTGTTTTGCCAGATGCAAGGGTTCACCACCTCTAGCACCTTATCCACTTGGAGAACCTTCCGAAAAAAGAATAAAATAAGTGATAGACGTGTTAAAAACTTTTTGCCGTAGTTCTTGTGCGTCGATTCCTCGGAGGGGACCATCTGATTTGTGGAGTGAAAACACATCACCAAGGTTTTTCTTTCATGTCCGTTTCTTTTCGGTTCGTTTTTTCCTTCTCCCCTCCCCCTTCACAAAAAGGAGCAAGAGTAACCCTGTTCCAAAAGTTAAAACTTTTGCTTTCAAGAAATTAAAATCAAATTCGAAAAACGGCTTGAAATAAGGCTTTCGTGAAGGCCCCAAGTAGCATTTTTCAGTTAAGAAGGAAAACCAGAAGTTCAACACCTATTTCTTATTCATCACACTGAAATAACTCGGAGGTCTAGCAGCCTCGTAAATCTCGCAAACTGTGTAAGAATGGATGGAGAGACTGAGGATGGGAGGCTAGTCGAGAGGCATGGACTGACCTTCCGCAGGATATGTTTGGGATAGGCAGGGTGATGTTTGGGAGGCGCTCGAAGACCCAACACCAGAAGAGTGTCCTTGACCAACGGCAATGCTGAGTACGTGATGGCGCCAGAGATGAAGAGGGAGCAGATGGGGTCGGCAATGTTCCAACCATAATTGGTGACGAAGAAGGAGCTGGTTATCACACCCACACTGCCTAGAGTATCCGCCAGCACGTGCAAATAAACGCCTACAGATGGAGAGGAAATCAGCATGTAGTTTGGAGATGCCCGCAATCCCAGAAATACGTTTCTGTTCGATGTTCTAGAGGTTCCAATTGATGGCTAGGCCTCCATATTTCTAGCGAGTCGTGCTCTCGCTCAGCCCCGCCTGACAGCTCCATTTCCACCAGAGGTATATCCTAGCTCTGCTATTAAATACGCTTGACTGCGACCACAGGGACGCAACTCCAAGCCAGGGTCATTTTCCGGCAGTCTCTGCTCCAGAGTCACTAGGCCCATGCACACAGACCGCACCTCCCTCGCACATTCATTGCGTCAGTCAATAGACATTCGCTCCGAAGTCCTTACCTATCACTTACCTAGTTGGAGGCCCCGGTAGGACCCAGGAGCTCGGTCATGGAAAATCCAAGCCGTAAAATCGGCGGCTCAGTTTGTAACAGATGCCGATGTATTTTACAATTAGTGGCAGCCCGGTTCAGCTGGAAGACCCTGGGATTCTATCTCTGTCATTAGACTTTCTCCCAAGTTTATCATGTGAACTTTACTGTTAGCGGTGGAAGATGACAGATGCCAGAGGTTGTCATTTTGACGTGAGAAGAAAGAGAGTAATCTTACTCACCCCTGAGATTGCTGTCCCCCGAGGCGTCCTCGTGGTCAACCGCGAGGGCGTCGTGGGCATCGGAAAGGCCGTTGGAGCAAGGAAGCACTATCACCTTAGCCTCCACTGCGCTCTTTTCGCCACCCGGCCCATGCGAGTGACCGTGGCTGCCATGCGAATGGTCGTGACACCCTCCACTGTGGGAGTGACCATGACCGCCGCCACCACCACTGCCGTGGGAGTGCGTGTGTCCCAGGGCGAATATGCCCACTAGGTTCACTAGCAGACCACCAATTGATACCGCCTGGAGGGGGAGGGGAGAGATAAGGAGTGCTCTAGCGTGTTAATCCCGCTGGTGAGTCAAGAGGGACTGAGTAAATCTGAAAGCGCTTTAGGTCAAACTACCTTAAAATCCATTAAATAGTGGAATCTTTTGTCGTAATTTGATCCTCATCTAATGCCTACTCTCATGTGTTCAAGTAGCATCCAGATTACGGAGTATTCTATAGCGTTACACCCTCTACCCAGTTTTTGAGGGCTTCTGATCATGCTATCCGTGATTTTAAGCCTTCCGATGTTTCTTTAATTCTACAAAGAGTTACCAATGGATATCTGAGACAATAATATCAGCCTGTGAGAGGTCCCAAAACCTTACAGAGAAAGCTTTTAGAAAACAAAATCTAAAGGCAATACAGGATTGATGGCATATCCGGACAGCGCTTACCATAAGCCGATCAGTATTGATGTCTGGAGGTTGGTGAACCCGCTTAAGTGCGTTGAGAAAGATGGAGACAGAGACAACCATTAGAGCGAGGGAGTTGATGAAACCGGACAGAATTTCGGCTCGATGGTACCTACACCGAGAGAGTTTAAAGCCCACAGTTACTCTGTGGTTCACAAGGCGGTCCGATCATGAAACACCTATCTTCAACCGACAAGTACCGTCTACAGACTCAATTAGCACTACTCCACGGGATATAAAAAGGAAACACACTTCTCCCACACTCTAAAAGATTTCAGGAAGGTGTAGGGCTCTAAGACCGCATTTGAAACCAAATGAGTCGTGTCAAAAACTGTGTTTGTAGTCGACGCGCTTTCAAAGTTGTCGCACAAAAAATTTAGTATGTATGAACTTCGAAGTAGATTTGTCGGTTACCGCTTTGAATACTTCTAAGGACGTTAAAACATTGACCGAAACCATTACCGGATGAAATGATGGTGAAAAAGATAGTTGTAAAAAGAAGGCAAACTAGTAATTACGGAGCGTCCAAGATCCTAAGCCTGCGCAACAGTGGCGGGCATGAGGTCCAATGGTACGCAAATCATGATTAATCAAGAAAGCAAACTAAAAGGACCAGCTCAATGCAAGGGAATTCGGTGGCCAAAATCCAACTACGGCTTCTGTGTTTCATAAGCCTTTGTAATCGTCAAAAGCCAGCACAGTCCATGCAAATGCTTCCACAGGAAGTCATTAGTAATTTTGGGCAATTGTTGTTCAATTGATGTCATCTCCTGACAAGTAATGGTTATCATTCTATTCAAGCCTGAAGCAGCTCCATGGAAGAGAGGGATGAAGGGCGAGCTAAGCAACAACCGCATCAATGGGGGCACTTTATCTACACTTTAGATACTCATGGATGAATATTTCTCAAACGTGTGTAATTAAAATTATTTTAAGGTGAAACACCTTACATATTAGCATAACTCCCACCACGACTCTAGTCAGGACTTTTAAGCAGGCCGGAAGAGAAAAAGGGAAAGAGCATCCGGAATCGCATCCACAAAAATGGCCAATCGTGTTTTTAAAACAAAAGACATACTAGGAGCCTACTTGAAATTAAGAGCAGATTTTGCCATAAACTGGACAACTAAGGGATTACAATTAGTCTTCATGTGGTAGAGCTCACACCTGCTCGTGTTTGGTCAAATGCTTGCCACATAGTAGTCCGATGGACATTAAGTCTTGCCAGCGCATCAGTCAAAGACAAATGGGATAAAAAGTGACTTATAGTTAGGTGAAAATAAGACCAGATTTTAGCATGAAACTCCCAATTACAAACTGAGTAGGACGCGTACGTGGAATAGTTTGGATGCATCCGCTATCGGAGCTTCCTTCAAGACTGTGAGACAGTTCAACAGAGAAAGAATGAAACGCACCCATAGGAGTAGATACGGGTGGGTTTCCAGCGGCCCACCACAGAGGCGTAGAGGCCCATTACCAGGGCAGCACAATCGAAAAGCATGTGGAAGCCATCCGAAATGAGGCCAAGACTATTGGTCCACACACCGTAGAAGAGCTCAATGAAGGTGAAAGACTAGGTGAAGACAGGAAGAGAAGGTGAGGATGAAGATTGTGGTCGTTTTGTTAGACGCACGTGCAAGATGAGTTACCAAAGTCCTGGTCAATATACCTTGGGACTGCCAAAACCGTACCTGTTGATTCACCGATCAAAAAATTCATGTACTTTTCAGTCATTACCTAAAATTGTGCGTAGTAGTTCCATACCCACACAAATCTGTACGTCCATGCTATACAAAGGTTCTTGAAGACTCTAGGTTCACCTGATGCGGCCATTTGAAAAGCAAATATCCCAAACAAAGGACACCCTACAGAAAAACGCTTAAACTCAACTTCTGAACAATAATAGATGTTGTCAAATGAAAGGTTCAGTGGGACAGATGGGATTGTTTTGAAATGTTGAGGCCTTCGTTGAGGAACCCTTGTCAAAATACGACAATCAGTTCAATGGGAGAGGTAGAATCTGAGCATCTTCATAGTGTACGCGAATTGTAGACCAGTAAATCAGTTGATAGTGCTCCAAAAAGTCAACACTTAACCAACATAGAATAGTACGGTGTTACTTTGATCCATATGCACGCCATGAATCCACCTTGTAGATTAATCCAAACAAATCTTGGAGGCTTGTATTACGAATGCCAGCGGAGATGTACCGAAGCACGACAGAGATGATTGCATTGGAAGAAAAACTATTAAAATCTTGTGTTACATCCATCCGATCCCTAGCATTCTCCCTTTAATCACACTCCAATTCCATCAGCAGTGCTACAGTATGACGATGCCTTAATTGTATAAGTGAATGCATGTTTCTCAGTATTCCCTTCAGATTCAGCCTCCACAACGACGGTAGGCAGACAATGCTACGATTTGACCTCCACCACGGTGGCGTGGGATTCTACTCATGTTACCGATGTCAACATTTCTGTAACCATTCACGTGCTTACGATAAAGCTACCCTGAAAATCATATGCCGTGCAACGAGTTTTGGTCACTGAAATTTCGTGGGTGCCTTTCAGTCTCCTATGATTCAGTTCCAAACATTCTTCACCACTGGTCTTCCACACATGAAAACTCATACGGTTACTCACGGGCCGGTGTGTCTTACAACGTCTTCAGTGATTACTAAGGGTTACCTCGGGAGGAATTTCACGTACAGTTGGCAGTTTACAAATGATATGCGGCAACAGAAGTAAAATCAAATCCACCTTCACATCATATCAACACTTGGTGAGAGAGAAAGAAATAGTTCGTTGATATGGGGCACAAAATTAAGATGTAAGTCTACGTAACGCCCAGTAAAATCCCAGGCATTCTTCTGTGGAAATAGAGCAGAGCCAGTTTCAGTATAGACGCACATAGTGGAAGAGACTGATGGAGGAAGCTCACCAAATTGAGGCAGAGGAAGACAAATATGCGGAATGAGGCACGATCGGCGGTGACCTGTCTTAATATAGCAACTGCGTGGTAGGTGAGGCTCAGTCCCTCGCCACCGCCGACAGCACTGGAAGGCGTCACTTGGGGCATGTAGAGCGGCAGACCAGCGGGTGAGAAACCCACGAAGCGTCGACTGTTGTAGAACCGGCCGCCTCCGTTCTCCAAGCTTGTTCGGTTCAACAGAGTGGAGGCTGTGATAGAAGGTAGGCTCAATTAGACTCTAGGCCTATTAAAACTCGGGTTCCATAAATTCGAACTCCTTTCAATATCAGGCCGTTCTGCGTCTACAACAATGAATGGCTGCGAGTTCGAAATCGCAGAAACTTACTGAATGTATAAATGTATACTTTAAGAATTCACAAGGATTTGTATCACCTCATGCCTTCATTTTAAATGGAATTTAGGATCTAAGACTCGGTTGAGGTCACCAGTACAGTAAATTGTAACCTTAAGTTTTCGAGGTCGAGTGTTTGAGTGTGCCGGTTTGCGGAAAAACGGCTTACTTCAAGCCCTTTTCGTCTAAAATGCATAAGCCTTGAAAACACTCCACTGATTCCACCCAAAGTTTAGCTGTCAAATGAAAACAAGGGTTAAAAATTCTCTTGAACAACTAGCTGTTCAAGATCATATGGCTGAAGTTTGGTGTTGGAGGTACTGGTCTCATAAATTTCGACTGTACTTTTTCCAGATGGGGATTATATGGGTTTTAAACTATGAAAACTCACGTAATGCAGTTATTGCGTCTACAAAGTGGATAAATTCTAACAACACCTGCTATTTCCACTCGATCACGAAGTGTCAATTGCGCGTCAAATTTCTTATCATTGTGAACTATCTCCTTTATAATCCCAAATCAAGTATCAAGATCAAAGGTTTAGGCACTCACGCCTGTGCTCGAACATTCGCTCAAATTAAGACGACCGTGTTTCAGAATACACCCTGTTCCAACACCCAAATGTAGCCATGATGCCATCTTATCAAGTACTAACCTCGTTTTATCATCAGAATTTACCCTCGGTTTCTTGCACTATGACCCCAGACGTAGGCAAACTACAGTAGTGCTCTGCATCTGCTAAGCCAGCATATTTGCTTTGGGACTTTCAGCCTACTCAGGCGACAGTACATATGCTTTCAGCGTATGCAAGATAGGTGATAGCAGAACGGTGCGCCTTTTGTAGTGGAATGTCATCCCAGGATAGCCGAATTCTGTATAAACCGCAATTGCAGCCGGCTTGCTAGAAGGAATTAATCACGTAATACGCACCATCTCACCTTCAAAGTTGTCAATACGAATATACAAACATAAAAGCAGTGTAAAAGGCCTTCAGATTTAAAAGCACAAGAGGTGTATCTACTGGATTGTTGAAAAATCATACTTTCTTTCAAACGTAGACTGTCCCCTTAAAGACACAAACAGCGGCAACAGAAAAGGAATTTTGGAATGATTTCCAACTAATATAAGCAGAGCATGCATTTCTGCACGTTGGCATGGAAAACTACCGGACAAGATGTTATGGCAAGTAGTTCACCACAGAACGCTAGTTCGTCAATGTTCAGTCGATCCCAGCCATTAGCATTTATGGGCTTATTAGTGACGCAAAACTAGAAAAAAGGATATTTGCAAGGGGATCAAGAAACCCACCGTAGAGAAAGGCCATCAAGCTGATGATTGCACCAGTGGAGAGATGGTGGACGGGCCTGGCCGAAGGAGACTCGGGCATGATAGTGTCTACATGCCCACCCACGGCCGAAGTTACCGAACCGTTGATGCAAGCGCTGAGAGACGAAAGGAAAGATGGGGGAATGTGGCGGATCTTAACACTTGCGGCGGATAGGGGACGAGATTTTCAAGCGGCCTTTCCAGGGGTTAAAAGGCGTGGTGAAATAAGTGCAGTTTACTAACTTTCACCCAGCTTCCTGCTTCAGTGCTGCGTCAAAGCGCTCCTTAAACTACTCAGCTTCAACTTAAAGAAGCTAAAGAAAAGCACGATCATAGTGGATGGTGAAGCTTGCAAGAACTATTTTCTATGGTGACAACAAGAGGATTCAACCACCGCTTACCCATTTTTTTCTGCAAAAAGCACTCTTCAATCCGTCCAACAAATTAATTTTGATAGGATATAAAGACGGGCTTACTGACCACCACGGTAGCCAGGGAAATTAATGAAAGGATAATCGTAAATAATGAGACTTTAGAAAAGGGGTTCCAACTAAGATGGTGTTAAAATCTAGTAAGCCAGAGCACTCTTTTAAGCCCAGTAAGCCCGTTATTTTCAGTGGATCATAAAAAGGTTCCTCAACCACGAGAATGACTGCAAAGGGTTATAAGGAAGCCACCGCAAAGAACGGTCTTCCACTGTGAGAGAAACAGGAGAGCTCAAGGAATGAGTACTGAACTCCTAGCTTTTGAGATGATGAAACACACTCGTCGATTCAAAATCATAATATTTAAGGGAGTTAAGGCAACAATCGTCATAAGTGATAGAGCATTCAGGAATGGGCTTTCCGTAGTGGAAGCAGAAAAGTATGATGAATGCTTACTTTGTTTCATACTTAACTTCACTCTTTTAACAACTCAAGAAATCCAGAAAGACAATTTCTGATAAGTTTCCTATTTGCAAAGTAGTCTAGATGTTAATGAAACGGTCGAAAGGATAGTAATATCAAGAGAGAACGGAGTAAGGTACACAGATTGTTACCTACCTGATGAAGAACGCAGCCAGCACCAGACAGGGATAGGAAACCTTCTGTGGAGAGTGAGGTCCCACCTTTTTGACCATAAACTCGGAGAAGTAGAAGTCTGCTACGAATACGAGCACCACAAGTGCTGTTGTCGAGAAGCCATAGAAGTAGCTGAACTCACTGACCGGTATGTCCAACTAGAAATAAAGGCGAAATGGGGTGTAAACAAGATAGCCTGTGACGCATTTAACAGACCTTTTTCTCACCACCTCCATACACACCTGAGGTGGCTCACTATGGATGAAGACAGTCCCCAGGAGGGCTGCCGAGAAAATAAGCACGAGGATGACACCAACGGAAGTGCAGGTGGAGAGTGTGTGGAGTCGCTTCGCCCCACCTATTGAAGCCGCGAGACCACGTGCTGCAGAATTGAAACCCGCTTCGGTGCAAGCCGAGATCAAAAGGAGAACAGCACCCGTCTTAGAAGGAGACAAGAGAAGGGAAGAAGCTTTCGATAGTTATGCAGATCTCTAAGAGCAGTTACGGGTGGGGAAAAAACATTGAGAATATCTGTTTTTGAAATCTTACCTTGTGATCGGAGAGTCCTAGGTGGATAAAGAGTTCGTAAATCCTATGGATCAAAAGGCTTTTGTGCACGCCCTCAGCTATGCAAAGAAAGTTAAGGAGGGCAAATAATGAGCCCCAAAACATAAAGAGAAGAGGATGAGCAGGAAAAAAAGGATACGATGATCAGAAACTGAATCCTTCACATCATGGTCAAAAAAGACTATAGATACCACACCGAGAATAAAGAAGAAAACCCCCCTGGACTAAAAGCCAAATAAGTAGAGATTTTGTACCTACTTTGGCGGACGAAACAGACCTAATAAACAAGGTGCCCAACAGAGCTATTATTGCAATATCACCGTGTTCATATAAGAGGATGAACCTATAGATAGGTAAACATAAGGAAACATACCGAAACGGTCCACAGAGAATGAGTCCCGTTATCCACATAATATCTAGCACAATACGTATAGTTGCGTGGCGCAGAATCCTTAAGTACTGAAGACAAATATGCACTAATACTACACAAATAGGCTACCAAGCTTTTTGAGAGAGGTCCGTGTCCGTGCAAAGGCTTCTGTAGCGTGAACAATACAACAGCGCACCTTGAAATATAATAGATATTACCAGCTTACAGTGCTTTAAATACCAGAAGATATGTGAGAGTGTGAAATCCTTTCAGAATATCATAAATAGCAAAATAGCAAAACGCCTTTGAAAGCTTAATCAAGCAAAATAAAGCCCAATATAGCCTGATTCTAGGAAAGCAACGCCTTATAACTTAATCCGGTTTACTGATTGTGGTTCCTAATGTCGTCTCTCGAGTCGAGATGCATACTTTCAGGGTAAAGCCACCACTTATTTGAGCGTGGCACCTACGCCGGCACTTGGCGCTGATTGGTAAATACTGGGTCAGTGTGACCATTTGGGTCTGTTGGCTCACTTTAGCCTGATGCCTGAGTGGCTTGAATTTTTTTGCTTCTGGGTGTATATAGGATATAAGGCATCTCCATGACTGCTTTTTCGTCCATTCGTACAGCAGTCACAAACTACAAATTCACAAATTTTTGTCAAAACCACAATCAAACAATGGATGCGCAGATAAATAGAACTGAATAGGACAAATCTGTCGACAGAAAAGTCCGCTGTTGATAGTTTAAAATTCCTAAATTTGGACGTGGTGCTTAGCCTTTTCCCAAGCAAAGAAGAGCTCCTGCTAAACAACCCATCTTAATGATAAGAGGACCGAAATTTGCAGACGCGTTGATTTGGCCACTAGTTTTTCCCTTAAGTACCTTTTATGCTTCGGCATATTAGCTGCAGACATCTTAAACATAGCTGAATTTCATATGCAAAGGTGGGTACGAAGACTTTTTAATCACAAAATTGCACAAGCAAATAAAATGAAGAAACCACGACTTTGAACTTATATAGCTGTGGTACACCTGGACTTCGCTGAAAATGAAAGAAGGCATGATACTCGGGTAGAATATATATATATTCAGCACAGAGGAGGTATTTGGGCTACTGGCATAACTCAGAGGCCAGCCCACCCGGAGCAATACAAAGACCAAGCCAAAAGTGGCGACTCGCCAATACCAACCATCTTATTACAATACAGCTGTGCAGCTCCCAGAGTCCCTCGAAGACAAAAGTGGACAAAATGCTCGGCAGAGTATGTGTTGTTGACCTTGAAATAACTTAGGAGCTACTGGCAAGGCCCAAAGCCCAAGCTGCCCAGTGAAGGCACTGTGCCGGAGCCTCTAATTGCCCCATTACCGAAATTGGGAGTTAAAAAACAAAATAATATTACATAGATGCTATGATGCGATATTATTCTTGTTTTCGCAATTGAAGATGACACACAACATGTGGACTAATAGTGTGTGACCACAATGTTTTGACAGTTGCTTTACTGCTGCGAATTATGCTTCCACTTGGTGGCATGGCTTACGGGTCATGCTAGTAGCACCTACATATCTGTGTCAGTAATATATTTTCTGTCACAGCACTATGACTTCAGAAAAGGCTTGAGGAAAGGTTCTACATAGTATTAATTATTAACATCATATAACACAAATCGGTATAATTCTCATTGAATTTAGTGCCAACGAGACGTTGGATATAGTCAGTCCGGCGTTTAAAGCCTGTTTTAGTAAATAAATTATTTTGTAAGTGTGACAGCAACCCACCCCTTCAAAGCATTGCAGCTCTTTATCTGCATTTGTTTCGGATACTTTTTGTCGTTACAGCCAAAATCATCAGAGGATTTTCCTGTACATCAGGAATCACTATCACAAATTTGACTAATGTCACCAGAACTAGGGTTTTCAGAACTTTGCTTCACCATTTGGTAAAAACAATGATTTAGGTTTACAAGCAAATTGCAGGAAACGAGAATGATCAAAATTTTTAGTTGTTTATGTGCCAAAAATAATAAATCGAATTTCTGTGAAAATTTTGATGACTGGTCTTCTGGACAGTAATGAAACTGTTCGTGTGCGTATAAATAATAATTAGGAAATAAAGGTGTATCACAACTTGTCGTTGGGATCACTTTATATTGCTATGCAAGTGTAATGAAACGGTATTCTCCGTTTGTATACTTAACTATTTAAGATCTTCAGCTCCCTTAATTCCGTCTCTTCCTTGACAGTGTTGTCAGAGAGTCATGTCCATACCCCTCTGTTCCTCTCTAGACTAATATGGTTTATTCTAACTTCAGGGAAGTGGGGGAACTCTACATTGGTGAAAGAACGACGATCATCCTTATTTCTACAGCTGATTTCCACATCTTAACGTCACGGTAGGAGGACATCAACCGTGAAAATCTAATAGTGTAGAAACTCATAAAGGGGTAGTTATTTGGTCCACATCCACTTTTGACAATAGCCTCAATCTCGTGTTCAAATATTCTCTTTTGGCACTTTACAGTTTCCACAAGTACGCGCAATTATATATGATCAATTTGAGTAGTCTACTATGGAGCTACCTTCAGCACTTTTCTAAAGGTATACCTAATGGGAAAGCAATTGACAGCCTTTTTGTACCCTAAAAGTCTTATCAAACCTGATAGAATGACTAAGCAGCCTTAAAACAAGCGTAAGACGACAACGATAGGACTTGGCATATTAGCTCCACAGCGCTACTTTATAATGCCTTTAACTGAATAACTGCTTCTAGGCACATGTACTTAAAGATAGTGATTTGTGAATTAAGTGCATTTTTCGCTAGGCATCCGGTACCATTAGGTGTTACCAAGCTAATGACTCCTTTCTCTTTCAATAAAATCTGCACATGGAATGAGAATCCGGTTTCAATGAAATCGACTGGATGCAGCACTGCCGCTTCAATTAAATACCCTTTAGCTACCATTACAACTTAGTTACTATTATTTTTGACTACCTGCTGGTTTTAAAAGCATAGCAACGTTGTAATGGTTGACGAAGAAGACTGACTAAAGTGTATCACAGCCGACAATTACTGAAGAAGGAAGCCACGAGTGACTAAGTGTTAATTGACAGTTCCTCTAACAAAGTGAACTCTAATGCTACTAAAATTACAGCTACTATAGTTTAAATGGCTTTTTCTGCTAATATACATCCTTCTGCACTGTCAAAACGTATTTTAAATTCGGGAATCAGGACATCACTTCAGGGATCGTGTCGGCAGATCCCTACAACAGTATGCAACAAAACTAAATAATAACTAGCCATTGATTTTTAGGGAGGTTTACTCTTTTTTCACCACATTTGCAAAAGTAACATATTCCATTTGAAGTTGTTTGATTACTCCGCCAGGATAAGCCGCCACTCGCGAAGTCATTTGTACCTATGCTCTCTGAAGCGCAGGAGGTTCTGAGACAGTTCCGTCAAGGTTTGAGTGGTTTGAGGGAAAATGATAAAACGAAAATAAATAAGCTGACATTCTTGGCCAGGGACCACGTCCATATTCCAGGATTCCCGCAAAGTGTGGCCGAGGCTACTGTTCGTCATGTGTATGAGGTTCGTTCACATAGCACTATGCTTTTGCAGTTGCTGCTGCTTCGCGCCACCTCAGTTTTTTTCGTGCAGTAATGTGGTATTGGTTTTTGAGTAACTTTTGTTCCTGGAGTTGGCCTCCTATTCTACACGTTTATGCAACCACTAATGGTTGCTATCGCACATACTTTACACTAAATGGCGTTCACCTTTACTACGTTGTTGTTTTCATATTCATGCTTTCTCGTCGTAGTAGGTAAGTCGTTCAAGGTGCCTACTTAACCACTCAAATATGTTATTCAATTTGCCTCTTTATTTGTCTGGTTTCAACCGCTTCTTTAACCATTTCTTCTAGATACCCGCAAATTACAAATTGCTCGGATTGTACGTGATAGACTCGATTGTGAAGAATGTCGATGTTCCTTATCGCAAGTTATTCACCGACCCAATCGTACCGCTATTCGTGCATTCTTTTCAGATGGTAGCTCTCTCTTCGGTTTATCCACCGTCTTAGATCCGTGACGAAGCCACGAGGAAACGGCTTTTCAATCTTCGAACCACTTGGAAGGATATATTTCCTTTTTCAAAGATGCGAAGCCTCGACATTCAAGTTCGTGAACACGATCCGGCTTGGCCTCTCATTCCTAAAGATGAGACTCAAGCATCAAATCGGATTCCTTCCGTGCCAAAAATCTCACCGGCGAAAATTAGTAACAAACCGCTTCCCGTTGCTACCAGCCAGTTGACGATTCCCGTTACGGAGGCCGTGATAGCAGAAGCTCGTGATCCTCGACGCAACAAAAAACGAAAATCTCCTCAACATGAATGCACCGAGAGTAGCTTTCTCATCGATCGCGATGGTAATCGAAAGATGGAGTCGATTGCTCGCAAACATGGAAAGGTGGAAGAGGAAGCGGAAAGGCAAGCATCTAAGAAACCCAGAACGCTGTTTAGTTTGGAAGACCAAGACATGCGTTCAGTTCCGCGTGATCGACCATCCTCGCCCAAACTTCCTGAACACGGCAAGTACCAGGACATCGATATGCGAGTAGGCGGGGCCTCACAGTCGTCCATGCCTCGTGGTGGTCCTCGTCTACCACCCTCAAGCCCACATCCAATGGCTCATTCTACCACCGTGGACTCTGTGCACCTACCTCGTGTCGCCTCTTCTGAGTGCCTGCCGCATAGAAACCCACCATCAATGCATCCACGTCCACCTATGCATGGACCTCCTTCTCACTTCCATCGAGTTGGACCCCAAATGGCTCCGCATCGTCCAAGTCCGGAGCATTCACTTCCTCCACCACCCCCAACAGTGTTTAACCGACCTCACAGCGTTCCTCCTATCCGAGGACCCATATGGAGCGTGGAAATCGATGGGCTTTCCGATATGATAAATATCGGTATTGATCCTCGTATGTTGTCACGAGTGCCGAATCCGAAAACCGCGCGGCAGATAACCGTCGATGGTAGGCAGTATCCTCTGCTACTGGATCGAGTTCAACCGCTCATTGAGGTGGAGGACCAACTTCATGCTGTGCGTTTCCGGTGCGACAGCCTTGCTTTCATCATCGATCATCAACGTTTTGTGATTCCTGGCACGGGCTATACCAGGATAAGGGCGGCAGGACGTGAACGAATAGCTTACCTGGGCGGTCCCGGTCACGAACTTGTTATCGACGGTCGACCTCATACAATTCCTTTCAATTCTCACTATGCGACCATTAATATAGATCACCAGACTGTATCGGTTATGTACGCCTGTGAGTTCCCACAAGATGTCAATGTTCTTCCCGCAATCCCCCCGAAAATTCTCGACTGGGCCTATCGAGGTCTGTTCGGCTCTCCCGGGAGCCTTCATCTAGCTCCTCGGAATCCTCTAGTGGAATTGGAACGTCAGTCTGAAGGTCGCTCAGATCCCACTCGTGGCGATCAACAGAGTACTGCGCGTAATCGTCAGCCACAAATTACTCAGAGGCCAACAGCGCCGGAGGAGAAACGTGTCCAAGAGAGGAATCCTGGAGCTCCTAAGGAAGGTGTCTCCTCTTCCGCCAACACTGCCGCTACCTCACAAATTAATGTTCAGGAACTGCTGCAGAAACTCATAGCAGCCGGTATTGTAGCCAAACCGGACTCTCTGCCCAGCCTGAAGGAGTACAATTGGGAAAAGTTCCGCCAACCCTTCACTCCGGAAATTGACATCCTGTACAGCGGTTTTCAGTGTGTTCAATGTGGGGTGCGGTTTGAGAGTGAGACCTCGTCGGACTTTGTTAGCCATCTGGACTACCACTATATGAAGAATTCGGCTGAACACCAGGAACACCGTAGCAGAGCCTTTTATCAAGACTCGCATTGTTGGCTGCTCAGTGAAATGATCAACGAGGGAGCGCCACGGTTCACCGCGCCAGCAAACACCACCGAGAGGGAGGAAGTGAGGTGTCCATCCTTCGCGGATGAAAAGCTTAACGTATGTAGTTTATTTTTCAATCTTTATCATATTTCGTTCCTTTCGGTCTATCTTTTGCTTATGTGATAGCAGCTTGGGACTGCAAACTTGTCTGTAATCCTATCTCCTTTAATAGGAATGCGCGGTGTGTGGCTATAAGTTTGACAAGGTATTCGACCGTGAAGAGGGCGAATGGATGTTGCAGGGTGCCGTCATCGAAAATGGCAGGGCGTACCATCCGATATGCTTGGAGGATGCAGGAAAGCAGTTTCCGGTGAGCCTCTTGAGACCCTTTTGGGAGATAGAGTGCACGCTCTTGACATTCTCTCATTTGTTCCTTTTTTTGGCTAGGTGGAGACTGCAGCACCGGTTGCAGGGAGCTCTGCTTCTCACGACGTGTTAAAGGAGGCGAAGATGGAGCAGCAACAAGGGGAAGAGCGGGCGACAGCATGCAGTTCCGTGAGTCCTGCGCCTTCTACTTCGCAGCTCTCTGTACTGATAAAATCCGAGCCCCATATAATAGAAACAAAAAATGCCATAGACACATTGAATTTTTCCTCTTCTCGCGACGCATCTGATCGACTTCCGTCGTCGTCGTCGTGTCCAGTGCTAAGCGAGATTACCAATGTGAAGCGGGAAGAGGAGGAGGAGGAGGAGGAGGAGGTGAAAGCGGGGGAAGCGAAGGGGGAGCCAGCCACGCTGTCGCTGCTGCTGCCACCGTCAAGCATCCCAGCAGCGCCTGCTAAGTGTGAACCGTGTCAAGAGGAGCTGGAAGCAAATTTAGGTGCAAATAGCTCGCCAGTGGTTAATATTCCCGGTCTTTCGCCGACGGCTAGCTTGGGTATTAGTAGTTGCGAGGATGATTTAACCACTGGGGGATTGGAAGGCGGTGACGGTGGCAGTGGTGATGGTGTTGGTGTCGGTGATCCCTTAGTAACGCCCGCTAGTATCTCCTCAAACCCATTGGCAGTCTTACAGGCAGTCTTAAGAGGCAAGGCGGCAATTCCTTAGTGTAAAAAGGGGCGTAAAGGCTACGTAGACCGCAAATCTGTACATACGAACAATTATTGTTGCATTTGAAGAGGAAAAAAGCGAATGAACCTAGATTGGTCTGCAATGTATTGGCTTTGGTAATGTATCTGAATGTTCTGAGAAATTTTTACTCGCATTTCAGTTCTGAAATAAATGAGTGTGCCCTATTCTCGTCTTCTACCTGTAAAGTTTTGGCTTGCCTGGTTTGTGCGGGAATTGTTTCACCGAAGCTTTGGCTTTGAGGTTTGTTCCGTGTGCGCTGACTGGCTGGCTACATCAGAGGATGATTGTGTACCTTTATGAGTCCCAGTGTTCACAATTGTGTGCAGTCTTGATGTCCTGGGAAGGCGTTGTAAATGTCCTCTTGTGAGGGAATTTGTATGTCGCCTACAGTTTGAATGGAGCGATGATTTGGGCGCCTTTTTTGTTCTTTTAAAGGCGGATGGTAGTTACCTCCTGTCGTGTTTTGGCCTATCAAAGGGCAATCAGCTGGGGTCAAGGTAGCGTGAGGGGACAATAAACAAGGGCCTAGCTTTCAAAGGTTGCAGTATAATTTGACACCTAGGCGAGTGATGCCATTCAACAGGGAAAAGCGCTGTGGATTCTTACCCTGCCGACTTTTCTCCAATTAGCATTGAAGCTGTTGATAGTTTCTGGAGGCGAGGCTGTCAATCACCCAAGGACTGACATTTGCTAATGTGCACAGAAGTCTTTGCTCAAAGTCACATGCTTGAATGGCGTGCGGGTAACTCGTGGTCTTCAGTGCTTGCAAGTACGTTTGTTAGTATGTCGCGGAAGGTCCGAGCTTGTGGACGGCACTATCAGGGCTTTGAATACTTACTGTCAGATTTACACTGTGGTGGGCTGATTGTCCGCTTGATGTGAGCAGTTATGGGGAGCATTCAAGTCAGACCTGGATTCTGACATTTACAAGAGGGCATGCTGCGGTGGATTTGGCACTGCTCTCGACGCGATGGAAAACGCTGCTCATCCCGACCGTACGACCGCATGCTTATTGTCCACTGTATACCTTAATCTAAAAATTTCGGCCGCATAGAATACCAGAGCTAAAATTGAATCTTATTGGACTCGAATATATCTCAAACTACGCGTAAGTTGACGGTAAGGCGGATTGAATCAGTAAACCAAATTAGTAAGTGATCCTTTTCATAATAATTCAAAATAACGGTCGTAAAGTGGTAGTGTCAACATCAAATATGAGAATCTGGAGCAAGTAAAGTAATAGTTATTGCAATTCCGCTTTCAACTACGCGGTCCTTCTCAGCCTCCGAGCTGATGGGATTAGGTCCTCCAATGCTGTCTTTGGGGAAAAGATGGGAAGTTAAAGTAATTTGGGTGTGTGCATACGTCTTAGTAACTACGTCATTGTCCTATCCTGGTCACCTCAAAGTACACATGATCTGATAAACAAACCGTGAGTCCTGCCTAACAAACAGTGCCCAAATATTCCCTACTTTTGAGGCACCCACATACCGTGTTTGGCGTCAGCTGCCTTTCTTAGATCCTAGAATAGCAAGCGAATGGTTGCACATTTGTCAGTTCTTATGAGTCACTTAATGTGGTAGTTTGATCTAAGAGCAGCCTAACTGAAGTGAGGCACCGTTCCCATCCCCTGCCTTCTTTAAAAAAATCTTTCTTTCGCTCTTCAATAGCAGTGACGGTGGTTGTTTTAGTAATGACGCATTAAGTGTTCTTGGATGTCAAGACTTCAAGGAGTCAGGAGCATAATAGACCTGCAGGCAGTACTTACACCTTAAGTACATAGGCAGCACATGCTGCTGCGACTTCAAAGTGAATTTAGGGGATTTATAATCCTAGTTACAGATAATTTGACCCTGAACACAAAATCTTAGCCCCATGACGGAAACTAGAGCCAAGGATATCGCTCAAATACGCCAAACAATCGGGTAAGTAACAGAGTTTGTGTCACGTAGATTAGACGTCTCGCATCGAGGAATCGGCACCGCGTCCCGACTCCGTCACGTGACTAGCGGCGCCGCGGCATCCCAGGTGCCTGCCGAAAATAGCTTAGCTCTCTTGGACACGTTTCCGCTGTGGAAAGAACACGCACCGAGTTTTAGTATTTATAACTTCAGCAGAAGTCAGAGCAGACGCGGTAGGAAAGACTGCCCCACAGTTTCCGATCTCCTGTGTAAAAATTATCAGTACGTGTCAGTAAAATTTATTTCAAAATACATAATTATACACTTTTAACTTGTGTAGAAAAAAGGCAGGAATTGAACGGATTTTAGGAGGGAGGAAAGGTTGGGAAGATTATATGCAAAAATCACTGATGGCATGCACGCATACTCATTTAGGAGATCGGTGGCCCGTGATATGGAAGAAGTTCGCACCAGTAATCCCCGGGCTGGTTGATCTCGGTTAGATAGACTCGAGACGATCCCTGCGTCTGCGATGCTAACTGCAACAGAATACTACCCGCTTTATCCACAGATTTAATTAATAAGAACCTCTACAGTCTACAATTTAATACACAAGCTATTGCTATGAGGGTTTATCCCTCCGTACACCTACAACACGTATACTTCTAGGGTGGAGCGGCTTACTAAGACTTAAAGGTTACATTGTCGGTACTGATGAGTTAACTCACTCCCAAAGTCGATGCCTGGATGCCACGCCAGGTAGCCGAATGCATCTACAGAAGAGAGATTAATCGACGGAGACCCACAACGATCGGACAGTTAATACGGCATTATGAACACCGTCAAAGCTAGGCCAGTTGAACAAATTTGCGATGTCTATACAAAAACTAGACTTAAAATTCGTACGAGTTGAAAAAATGACAGCTTCTCACGCAATGATAAGCCGTCTGAGCAGCGTCGGAACGAGACTAAACTGAGAAACCAGAAATCGCAGCAGTGAAGTGCAGTGGGATTTGCTGTGTTTAAAACTCAAATTTCCCATGAAAACCGATTATCATGAGAAACGCACTCGCTGGAAAATATCACTTAGCCTTCAACAAATATAGCCAATGAATTCTCGCAGGTTAATTGGCAGTGAGGGCATGAATGGGCTATAGAGAGCTGAAAACTAAACCCAAAATTTGTTCAGTAGAATTCCTTTTGCTGTGATTTTAAGGTTTCGCAGGCCTGTCCGGCATCTATACTGGAGGTTTGGAACTATGCCATGGCAACATTCTTCTAGACCTGGGCGTTTAAAGTAAGCCTACTTTCAGACTGGCATTGTATAAAAGAGAAATCCGAACGATACACACTTCACTGGAGGTGGGTAAATCGATCTCGCGATAGAAGAGGCACTCCCGAGTGCCTAAGTCGTGGTCATAAGGAGGCGAGAGGATGTCAATGAAGACAACAGTTCCCTCCACTGCCGTTAGCTCATGCAAGTTGCCTGTACACGGGGTGAGAAGACAGGGTAGTCGGTCGGAAGCTCCAAGCAGCCTGTCCGCGTGCGGTTCGGCCACCGTGAGGTCGGACGTGGCGGCAAGACGCCACATCACTGCGGTGCCGCCGCAGTCCTTCGACGATCCCGACGGTGGTGATGACGCACCGGTAGGAGACTCATCGTGAGAGAGAGGCGTGAAGGAGCGGCAGCGCATAGAGCCCTGCATCACTCGGATTACTCCAAACATGCCTGGATGGCCATGAAGGGGAATACGAGAGCCGGGACGGAGTATAAACATGCCCATAGAAAAGACCTCGTTCTCGGTTATGTGCATGTACGCCACGGGTGCATTGAGCTGGTTTGGTGGAGGCAGAGAGAAGGGTGAGTCGAGACCGACGTCGTGGAGGGTAAGAGCGGCAACATTGGCGAGAAGGTGTTTCAACGCCTCCGGGTCGTCACAGGTGGAAGCAGCAGCAGCAACAGTAGGGAACACTGCACCTCCATTAGCAACGCGCAGAGAGTGCGTGCGGAAAACGTGGAGAGCCAGGTTGCTCACCTTGGCAATCTTGGTCGTCATGTTAAAAGCGCAGACAAGGGTCGCCCATAGCCAAACTAACTGGAATAACATTCAAATGTAACTTTTTTCAGGTAGTCAAGAGGTAAAAAGGCAACCAAAACTAAGTTGATATTAAGAGTTTAATATAGCCTAGCATGGTCCGCGTCTAACATGAAATATTTTTGACCACATGTGACCTCTTCCAGTATTCACGTGAATGCATTACAATTATAAAAGGCCTAGCTCTATGGTATGAACGCACCTCTGACTGTAGAAAAGGAGACGCATGGCCTAAAAACTTGACAGCGGCGGGTCCTGTACGTGCCCAATCAAGAGGGGCCCGTGTTCATTAGAACACATTTACAGTAGTCCAGTCACCATCGGATTATATTTATCTCACCCAACTAATAGCCCACTAGCCAAGCCATATCAGTAAATCCAATTTTGTTTCATTAATTTAAACGTACTACATCCTTATGGAATGGTATTTAGGCTTTGGATATACTAACTAAGTGAGTCCCTCTAAAACAACATACAGGAAAACTAAAGCTGAAAAAACGGGCTTTTGTGAAGCAACTAGTGGTGACCTAATAATTAAACTTGTAAATTTCAAAGCAGAAATAACTTTTTTACCAGTTTATACTAACCGCATTATATTCCCACTTGCCAAAAACACATAAGTTATTCAGCAAAATGCGTTGCATGCGTGCCGGCTGAAATTCTCTTACTTTTATTTTACAAAAACTTTTTATGGCCTTTTCTGCCTATTTTTTATGCGTCTTTACTGTGTGGCAGAGGCTATTAAAAATTAGGTGTGACGTCGATCTGTCACCCACACTACCATAACAGTAACCTGGGACCGTTACAAATGATATCGGTTAGAACATTTAAAGTTTTATAAATTACTATATTTTGATTGTCTTTAAATTAATTTCCTCGTATTTAGTTACATCAGTGCTGCTTCTGGACACGGTGTGTGTCCATTGAAAAGCGCGGATTAGTGTTCGCTCGCAACTGATGGCTGTTGGCGATATGGTTGAGGGACCCTTTGCTTTGCCCACCGATGGGCTTGATTACGAGCCGACACTGGATATTGGGAAGATATTTGTGGAACGCTGTAATAGTGAGCAAAACAAGTCAGAGGCTATCGTTGCAATCGAGATCCTCATCATGCTTATGAAAAGTAGCAGTATCCGTACTGTACAAGGTCTCGATGATATGGTTAACGATGCTGTAAGGCAAATGCGTCAAACCGACAGAACCAACTGTTCAGTTAAATCTGCTTGTGATATATTTCAGCGTTTCATTACGCTCGCAGTTCTGGACAATTCCGGCGACTTTGGTGAAGTCAAGAAGGTTCTTCTAGATCGCGCTTACCTCTTCTTGGACAAGGTAGTCTTCGACCTTTTAGCTTTCGGCTTCTTACCAATTCATGTCGCTTTCAGATTTTGGTGATTCCAAGTGCTTACCAGTTTCAGTTTTTCTTAAACCGTTGGAACTCGGTCTTTTCTATTTATAGATTAATGGATACAGGGATATAATAGCTAGAAATACCAGTTTCCTCATTCGGAACAATTTTCATATCTTGACCCATGCGAAGTCGCGAGCTGTTATTGAGGCTCTTTCATACATTGTCAATAATGAAACCAATCGCCGCACTCTACATTGTTATGTTACGCAATGTATGCCAAGCGCATCGGGTTGTCGTATGGTTCAAGAGCTACGAAAGCGGGGTGTCTCCAGTTCCAGTGTCCCCGACACTGCTGTGGCTTATCTAATGCCTCAAATCGACGCCGTCCTCCTTGGGGCCGAGGCCGTTGTTGAAAGTGGTGGTGTTTTGAACGCCCTTGGCTCCTGCTCAATCTCTATGATTGCTCATAGTATGGGGAAACCTGTCTATGTTCTGGTTGAGTCCTTCAAATTCCTCCGTGTTTACCCCTTGGACCAACGTTCCATACCCGATGAGTTGAAATGGCCTCCTTCACAACTGGCAAAGGTTCTTGAAAGTAAAAAACCGCAAAAACCCAAACTTGTGCTGAATGATCCACGTTATGATCCGTGGCTTGAGGTTGCAAGATATCGGGACAAGAGGGTAGAGAAATACATGCCATTGATTGACTACACTAACCCTATTTATATTACATCTCTGGTCACTGATTTGGGGATCTTTACGCCTTCCGCTGTTAGTGATGAACTGATCAAATTGTACCTTTAGTTTTGTGATAATAAAAATAATTCCTAGAAGTCGTTTGTGGTCTTTCACCGATGTTTATTGTTCAGTACTTCCAGTAGTACCCTTTGCAGCTTACGACGGCGGTATGGGTGTGCTTTTTCTTCTCTTCTTTGTCCTCGTGGCGCACGCTTCGAGTTCCGCGTATAACACACAAACACCGCAAGATTCTCGTCTCCTAATTCTCTTTCTGGACGGGTTACGGTGGGATTACTTCAACCACTTTGATGAGACTGGAGGGGTTGGACGAATGCGCGCACAGGGCTGTCACATACCTCGTGTAAAACCGGCTTTTCCAGCCAATTGCCATACCAATATGCATGCTCTTTTTGCTGGTACTTTTCCCCTTTACTCTGTCATCGTTTTTTTTTATCTGGGAGAAATTATGGGATGTTATTTTTTCCTTCCAGGACATAATTCAACAAATCTGGATGTCTTTAATGACGGGATTAAAGCTGAGTACACGCATCCGGAGCTGCTTTGGAACAGGGCTACCAAACAAGTATGTTTTTTTATGAAACGGATTTCTAAAATGAGACCTCGGCTCGATACAATTGTCTTCAGCATGTCTTCATTCACAGGGCAAAAGTGTGAAGCTCTTTCACTTCCCCTTCTGCTCGAGTCTGCTTGAACGTGGCATGGATTGCGTCCAACCGGTAGGCGAGCAGATCTCTCTCAATACGACTCTGGGAGACGCCCTGCAGTCTCTTGCGAACCGCACCAACGATCTTGCAGGTGCCTGATGATTATACCGCTTTTTTCCCACTTCTCGAACGTAAACAGCTAGGGTTATACCATGTCTATCATTCATTACTCGAAGTTCATGACCTTCGTAACATCTCAGGTTCAGAGGTATTTATGATTCAGCATCTGACCTTCATTATGAGTCGCTCACGCTGATCGGTTTTTGTTGAAACAGAACTCTAGTGTCCTCATTTTTACCCTTGATACTGTAGTTGTGTACTTTGGTGAGCTTGACCGCGTGGCTCACGCTCATGGACCCTCCTCAGAGGAGTTGAAGCATGGCGAGACAATTCGAAAGGTCGATGAGGCCATTTTCAACGTCATTCAATCTCTTCAAATTCTCCAAGATGCAAGTCTGAACTTCGCTGTTGTTTCCGATCACGGAATGACCGATTTCAGGGGTTTTCTTACGCTCGATCGCGTCTTCAAATGGTAATTTTTTGCACGAACTCCTAAACGTGTCAGTTTGTTACCTTTTCTTACACCCTGTTCTAACGTATTGTTCTTATATCTCTTTTGGCTACGTGTTATTCATTTCTCTAACGTTTAACAGGAAGGTCATTGGCAAAGTTGTGAACCTTGGCAGTGCAGTTGGTCTCTGGCCCAAACCAGGCGCTGAGAAAGATGTAGGTTGATTTATCATGCTTACAGTTGTGAACTTGTGTTAGGACGATATTGATACATTAGTTAGTTGCTTCCTATTACTTCAGCTATCTGAAAGCCTCTCTGCGAAAAGCCACTTCCAAGTGTACACTCCACAGACTATGCCGGTGACATCGTGGCACCCATCCCGACTCCCGCCTATCGTCTTGATTGCGGAGCCGGGTTACGTCTTCCAGGTGAGTTACCACTCGTCTGCCACCTGGGATCACCTCCTGTCAGCCCGTGACATTCCTCCCCATCCTCGGGGTGTCCATGGCTACCTCCCTGACGTTACTGACATGCATACTACCTTCCTGGCCTACGGACCCGCCTTCGAGTTTGGCTGTGGGGAAGAACAGGGAAGACTCTACACCTACGACCTCTTCCCACTGCTCAATACTGCACTTTTTGGAGGAGCTGTTGTCGAATTTACGAGAGGAGGCGAACCGAAAATTGTTTGGGAGATGAAGCTACTAGGAGGAATTCTCTTTATCCTCTTTGCGGTCGTTCTCATCCTCGGAATTGCGTTGAGACGTTTGCTGAAAATTGGACGGAAGCGTGTCGACTCTTCCCTTATCTGCGACTTCGAGGAGGTGGATGAAGATGAGGAAGGTCTCAAGACAGATGCTGAGATGAAGGCGTAGTTATTTGGATTCCCAGGAGTTTAATTGGCTGATTGGCTAGGCATCTTTTAGTCTGTCCCGGTAAATGCGTTCCTAGCATTTAAGTTTACAACATCAGCCAAATCATATAATAGATATGTTGTTCTGCACCTAACTCGTTCTCACGTGGTGACTTGATTTGGGTACTTAAATCAGCAGTTACTATGTGAGTTTGTCCTTTTGGAAATAGCGGTGCAACCCGTCGGGATTTAGAAACCCCCAGGTATCATTCCCATTAAGCCAGTAGAAAAGCAGAACTCGAGGGGCTGATAGCATCACTTAACATTTTCTATACAGCAAAACAATTACTAGAAAAAGAAGCAGTGATAGCAGCCGTCAGATACAATTGCCTGAAGAGCACAATACGACTCGGCAAATCATTCATTAGTTCGATCAGTGTTTCTGCAAGTAAAAAGGTGAAAACGGAAGGTTATTTGTGCCGGGTCTACATTGTTACTAGGCCTAGAAAGGACTGCGAGCATTAGTTCCGTTGTCCAGCCAATTTGGGGCTCTGATTTCAAGTCGAATAGTGGTACCGAGTTATTACAAACAAAAACTGTCAGTTTAAATCTTATGGAGTCCAAGCAAATTTTGACTTGGGTAAGTCAAAGAACAGTTGAGACATTGACCTGATTGCGCTTTTTCTTCTATCGTCGGTGTATCCCCTGCTGTTTACGGTCACTACCAAGGTGTGGTTTAGTTTATCAACTACTTTGAACCCCTATTTCTTGAATTTGTCCTAGGAAAAGGCGAAAATCCCACTCATAATCCCGATTTTTGATGCAGATGGGTTGAAGTATGGTCTGTGCTAAGGTGCGATCGCTGTTGGTTTGGACCTTCAAGCACGCAAGCAGTGTATGGATGTGTGAAAGGTCTTCACTTCAACAAAAAGATGTTGGTTTAATTTTAATGAACCCTTGCAAATTCACATCGGCGCTTGTAACCCTAGGCAATGCTCATGCTATTAAAGGCTGTCGATCTTCCAGCCTTTCTGTGCACTAGCAATAAATATGCTTTCAGAGGTGCCGCGATGAAAGTGCATCGCCACAGACAGCCGTTTCCCGTGTTGATATTCACAGAGAGATTTGAAAGCTCCGTCTCTTTACCACTCTGCAATCCTTTTCGCCGCCCAATTCCAACCCGAATCACCTCATTCGCCTCTGGATTGGTTTCCACGCTAGTTACTATGAGGCTCTAGTCCTTTCGTCTAAGTCATTAGCCTCAAAGCCTTTTCGGAACTTTGGCAGTGCTACTTCAAGCTTATATGTCAAGATGTGTGGCTGCCGTCACTCGAGTCTGATCCAAACTGAAATCCTAGACCCCTCCTTAACAAGAAATCATTTTCGAAGTTCTGGTACCTGCGAGGACTGTAGACAGGGGGAGGACTGCCGCTGGCAGGAGGGAGTAGAAGAAGGTTTTCGTCGTCAGCACCGCGAGGTGGATTATCACCACCTCTTTCAGCTGTCTCTGCCGTCCCTACCACCACGAAGGAGAGAGGACGCTTTTGCCCAGCCGATCTGGATCCACGACCGGACGGCGCGACAGACACGGCGGCCTGCTGCTGCTGCTGCTGGCTTGGCAGGTCGCGCACGTGTGAAGGCAATGCAGGCTGTGGGTAGACTACAACGCTTACCGGCCGTGTCTTCGTCTGACCTCTACAATGTCCACAAATTCACATGTAGCTAGATTAAAATTGCTTTAAATATATGCTCGCGGCTATGCAAGCCTTTTTAGCCTCAAGTGATCCAGCTACCATGCTGACAGTGTGGGGAGCTCTGCTTATGTTGTCTTCGCGTTGGTAGTCTTTCAGCCCTTCCATCCAGTGGTAGTAGTGCTACTCCATCTTTTTGCCTTGCATCGTCTCCAGACTAGAAATCTTCAGCAGAAAGCTGTTTTCTATGCTAACACGCGAGTTTTTACGGCCTCCTGCGACTCAGTAGGCAGGCCGGTGACATGTCTTTTTTCAGTCCTTTCTTGCAGACTTCTAGAAACGTATGTCTTGTAATGATTTCAAGAGTGACTCCGGCACTACAAAGCCACGATACCAGAACAATGTTTGCTTTGATTGAGGACACAAGACCTTCCGATTTCCCGTGAATCGGCCTCCACGAATTCCTATGACACTAATCTCTCACCCACATCTGCGTGACTATTAATGAAGCATGTCTCACAACACCTTCAGGGATAACTCGAGCACTACGAAATTACGCCCTCACAGTCCCATGAGATAAAACTCAAGTCTACTATCTAGTGACCATCAAGTGCGCCTCAACACGACTTTACTAGTCAGAGGATCGAAATTTCTCACTGAATAACTAGTAACAACACCTAACCACACCGTCCTTCTACTAACCTTAAGTAAATCACCTTATCCGCTAAAATCTCACGATCTACCGCCAGATTCAGTAAGAGCTTTTCGAGTTGCGTGGGCAGAATTCAATACAATCGACTACATTTTTGCAACAATTTCAACCGCATATTTTCGTTTAGGTTATTTACTGTCTGCAATGTACAGGTCCAGAGCAATCACCTTGGTAACCGACGCAGCAACATAAAGACTTCAAAAAAACACCACAAACAATCAATGAGTCTAGAACATCCGCTATAAAATAGCATTTCATTCTTAAAAATTACTCGTTTGAGAGACCTAGGAAAGACTTGCTGTGAGACTAAAAAAAGGCAGTAGACGTATATCGCCACCTCGAGGCGAGAGCAAGTGGTCTAGTTGGCTCCCAATGCGGGAGCGCACTGTCGCCCCATTAAGGCTGGGTCTGCGAGCAAACATCGAACCACCACACTAGTTAGAATTCTGATTCCGTAAAAATCACGTCATCTAGTAGACACCTCGGAACGATGACTGACAAAGCCCTCGGCTGGCTGGTGAGGCCATGACTAATCGAAAGGCACACACCATTCATGCCCTTGCAATGGGTGAATGTGTGGCATGGACAACTCGAGGGGAGGTTAAGGAAGTCCTGAATGTGTTTCATGGGAACATGTGTTCCCATGCTACAGGGGCTCTTAAGTCAAATCAGGCGCCTTTAAGCTGATGAGTGTTGGCAGACTCCCATGATGCATTAGTTTCAGCGTTCCTAGCGCTTTGTTAGGAACTGGACTAGCATGGTTGGAAGCGAATGGACATCTTCGGGACCTTTATATCATTCTAAAGTCCTAGTGCCAAGGGGCTGCGCGCCCCATCACCTCACTGTCCTTAAAGTCTTCAATGAATACAAGGATTTGGAGGGTTGATACCGTCCACAGGAAATTGGTTCGTGCACGCACTGTCCCTGTTTTCTTCCATTTTAACAAGGGCAGGGCGTCTACTACCGTGCCTAGTATTACTACGATGAAATCCATAAAACTTGTAGGATGCTCAAGTCAGACAATACGGATTTCAAACAAATGAAGTGACACATTAGAAATAATAAAATGAGATTGATAAAACGGAACGGACCGCACGAAGGACTGCTCAACAGGGTCTGCTACGTCATGGCACTCCACTTCCACCCATCGTGTAGTCAGGTCTATAAGAACGCAGACCGGGTAACGGTACAAGTGCTAACGTCCACAAGTTAGCAAGGAATTTCCTATTTCCCTCACTAGATATGATTTTGGGACTGCATATCTCCGACAGCAATTTAAGCACGTCTTCTGATTTGCAACTATCCCCTGGCCCACTCTACAACAAAAAGGAATGAAGGAAAGTCGTATAACAATCTCAGCAACTCAATGAATGCTAAAGAATAGTGGAAAAGCAGCGATGATCTATTAAAAGTCGCTTGTAGTCTTTACGAAAAGAATCAAGTTGAGATTAGGATGGTCGAAAATATCCAGAACAGGTGAAACAAGCAATCAAGCTAAATCAAACCCTGCGAATAAGGGATTTGGGATAGGCATTTATGAAACAAAGACCTGATTTAGGTTAAAGAGGAATATAACAAAGCCAATCTCGAATCGCTTGACCCACATCAACCTTGGGTTTTCTGCTCACCCGTGAGTGCATAAACAGATTTACTTCTACAGAAGGCAAATTTCTTTAATGTAACTAGCGGAGTTCACTGTGGGTGTGAGGAGAATTTGCTCTGCGGTACTTTGCTTAACGCTGCGTTTTGGAGGCGCCGCGATTGTACTTCTGCCAAGCGGAGTGGTCTCTGGGCCATGCCAGCAGGCCTCTTCCCCCTAAACCCCTCCGTACGTCGGCAATACACATTCAGTCCTAGTATTATGACTTCCTTCGTCTCTAGAGAAGTCTCAAGGCACTATATTAGTGGTGGCGGAAAGCAAACCCGATCATAAAGGACGACTATCCTGATTTCTAACTTCGAATGCTAAATCTCAACACGATGGAAGACGGGCATATGTTGCGGGAGGGAGAATCTGTAAAGATCCCTAACAGAGGGATTAAAAATAAAACTACTATTTCCATGTTCTGCAGCATTGTTGTTAACAACTGAAGCGACAGTATCTGAAGAAGCTCGTTACGAAGCTGTCTGCGGTACTTGTATTAGGTGAACGCGCATCACTTCTTTCACCTTTCTACCGGCTGGATAGAACCCGGGTAGCAGATATTGGCTGAGCAGCGCTGAAGTGTGAACAACGTGGCAATGCAAAACCTTATCCCTACGAAAATATTTTAAACACCGTCCTTCAATAAATAACAACTTTCTGGCCAATGTTCTAACTACTAGCGGTTAACACACGAGATGGCCAGCATATTCCCCCTTCCCCAATGCAGTTTCCAAACAGGACGCAACTCTAAATCCATCAGAATTATCAAGATGATCAGCGACGTTGCGGCTTGATAGCCTACGTTGTAGTGGGCGGTGCAGGAGTTTACCAAGGAGAGCGCCAGGGACACCAGTCAAAAGGAGGGGGGATATGTGACTTTGAATGTTTGTTTAGCACTGCGTTTTGGTTATGGGGGTGGGACACTTAAGATTTCGTTTTTGTACTTCCGCTGGGTAGTATAGCCCAGACCCTATGCCAGTAGCCCTCCAGCCGTTCTGTACGTTGGCAATACGTTTTCCACCCCTAATGTTATAACTTTTCTTGACTTCAGGAAAGACTCGGAGCTGTAAATTCTTAGTCAAGGAGCAGCCTTGATGCAACTTCGTCAAGTTGTTCCTGCAACCGTAAGTTAATCGGCTGAATCTTCATGGTACATACGTATGAATGTGTATTTCAAATATTTGGTTGTTTAAATGAATTGATAGCCTGAAATTACCTCTGCAGACGCTGGCATGCATTAAGTGTGGAAAACTTTGCATGAATAAAAGAGCAATAGCATTCGTAAACTTCATCCAAAATTCTTTTTGTTTTCGAGGCACACACATACGGCTGTAGCAAGCGCGTAAATGCAGTTGACCGCGTTCTCGCTCAAAACGCCCACATCTGGCTAGTTGAGCGAACGATCGATTACGGCTGCACGCGTGCTATCGATTTCCAATCAATCACCAACCCTAAGTGGTGGTGTAGCGCTGGCTAGTTATGACTCATGCTCTTCTTGGCCTACACTGGTGCTTTACCATGCGTACTAGCTCCAACACACCGAGCTGCCTTTTATCTCGCATCTTGGCGCCTCTATCCTAGTCGAGCTACAGGAGGACGCAACAATCAACCAACCAACCAACCAAAGGGCAGGCCATTATTAGTGTAGAGGACTTACAAAGAAGAAAAGATAAAGTAATTTGTAGGCATTTGAAGCAAAGCTATTGCGACGAGTAGCTTAGACGGTTGGTAAAGTAAGACAAAATATATTTATCACAACATGCCATTATGGCTTTGAGTTGCGATAAAATCGTCAACCATGTGCTTAGTTAGTTGCTCAGGCGCCGAGAGCGTACAAAACGGTTACGCTTCTAGGTTAAGGATAGAGAGGGAGAAATGGGAGCCCTGGTTCCTAGCGTCCTTTAAAAAAGTGGTTTCCACAGTGCTACATTTAAGATCGTTGAAACTCTGTATTTTTCAATCAATTGGAAAAAAAACGAACAAGTAGATCAAAACCTATTCATTAATAATAATAACACACTATCTGATAAGCGCCGTCAACACATTTTTTGCGAAACGGGACTTTAGGAATGTTTACCAGACAACGGAAGGAATGGAATCAGAAAGGGACTCTATGATTAATGGGAATTGCGTTGCCTGTCCCCTTTTTATCCTTCTTCAAGTTTTGATACTTGCGTTTACGGTCTGGATGTATGCACGCGGATCGAATATGCAGGCAGCATAACAC